GACTTGTGTCTACGCTGCAGCGGTCCGGGATGTACTGACTCATCTGGCTTCCTGTTGGATTCAAGGGACTGTTCACTCATATATCAAACAATCCGGAATACAACAAAGGTTATATAACACTTATATGTGAAGTACACCTGCAGTATGGAAACAGTACAACAAAATGGCCGTTTTACACTTTTTTCTAGTAAATTCCACTCTAATATATATTCTATTCTCTTTGTATACAATACATAAATACGTACATACATGTATACTGTGCTGCTGTGCACTACAAAGGAATTTAATCTTTGCCACAAACTCAAATATTTAAACCCCCAAATCTTTAGAACCCGATGTTGTAAACCTTTGATATTTCAAACTCAGATTATTTGATTTAACAGAATTCAAAGTTTGAAATATCTAAGGCCTACGACATTTGGTTTAAAAAAAGTAGTGATTAGAAAATCAGAGTTTGTGGCAAAGACTAAATTCCTTTCAACTGTTCCAATTTAAACAAAAACGATTTTTACCATTCAATGGGGCTTTAATCATACTTTCAAGATTTCTTTGTAAAGACATGGTACCCCTAAAATCTTTGTGTGAACAAGTATGAATTATATGATTTATCTTTGTTCATATTGTGGTTTCTCTACAAAAGTGACTTGCCCAATTCTACTGCAAAAAAACATATAAGAATGATCAGAATTAAACAATTTTAAACCTGGAAAAACACCATACCGTAAATATTTTTATCAGAGAAAGGTTTTATTGGGGCATTGTCAGCGTTGCATAGAGAGGGTGACATGAAATTACCATTACAGTTCCTTGAAAGAAACTGCCATGGTCTGTCGCGCGGCGTAATTTCTTTTGAACCCTAATCTAGGGTGCAGGGGCGTATTCAGGAATTTTTCCAGAGGGGGGTTAAACTAATTTTTATTTACATGGGGGAGGCTCAGCACCCGTTGGGGACTGAAATTCATAGATTTTACTGGTCCAGGGGGGGCTGTGCCCCCATTTACGCCCCTGAAAACGCCTCTGCGAGGGAGGACAATGGTGCCCGTCAAACCAATATCTGAATTAAATGAAGAAGATATCGTTGATTTTCTCTCTGAAAATAGGTTGAATTATTAAAATTTGTTGCATTATCTCTGCAGCGTAACTCAGCAAGAAAATCAGGTTTGAAGAGTACCGTGGCAGGATATCTATAAATGTGCAAATCTATAAAAGGATGGTTACCTGAATTTACACCAATAGTCCCTTTTAGGGAAATAAATTTAAAAAAAAAAACACTAAAGTTCACAAAAAGATATTAGTTTTGATAAACAAGTTATATTTAGGTTTAATAAGCAAGGATCTGTTGGACCTGAATGGAAATTATCCAAAGCCCCATCTTCTCCTCCCCTATACAGCTTCCCTTCTTCCAGTAGGCAGTCTAAACAATCCCTTCAAAACAGGTTTGTTGCAGTACATTATCAAAATAGGTTTGTTACAATACATATTCAAAACAGGTTTGTTGCAGTACATTTTCAAAATAGGTTTGTTACAGTTCATATTCAAACAAGTTTGTTGCAGTACATTTTCAAAATAGGTTTGTTGCAGTACATTTTCAAATCAGGTTTGTTTCACTTCACTTTGAAACAAGTTTGTTACAGTACATTTTCAAAAAAGGTTTGTTGCAGTACATTTTCAAAATAGGTTTGCTACAGCACATTTTAATACAAGTTTGATACAATACATTATCAAAACAAGTTTGTTTCAGTACATTTTCAAAAACAGGTTTGTTGTTGCAGTACATTTTTAAAACAAGTTTGTTACAGTACATTTTCAAAACAGGTTTTTGAGTAAATTTTCAAAACAAGTTTGTTACAGTACATTTTCGAAACAAGTTTTTTTTACAATCAAATATCAGAACAGGTTTGTTACAATATAATATCAGAGCTGAAAACTTTAGAATGGACGTCATCCACTTAATGGCTTAAACCACTCTTTTTCTTAATATCCAGTTTAAATATTGCTTGTTCTCCACATGAATTTAAACTCCAGAGAAGCTAATCCATCGGATATCTGGATATTTCATTCTAAAGTTTTCAGCTCAGAGCTGAAAACTTTAGAATGGTGGATATCGAGATTAATGCTTGATCCTCTCTTTTTGCTAACCTCCAGACTAATTTAGTCTTTAGATTAATTTCTAGAGATTAGAGATGCGCTCTTTAACTTTTGAAAAACTGGTTTTCAATTTTCCCGCATTTGCGGTGTCATATCATTTGGACTAATTATCAATTGAACGAACGTAAGTTTTGGATTAAGGTTTATCAGACTAACGTTTTTTAATAAATTCATATTAACATGATTAAATTTTCATTTGTGTAAATGCTCTAAAAGCCGGCTTGTGAACAGCTGACTTTATAGTTCAGTCTGATATCAGTCCAATCGATATAGCATCATATCTGTATTTGTAATCAAACGTATCTTTATTACATGTAGTAGAAAATGTGATATCCAACAAGAGCGGATAAAATTTTCCACGGTGGATATTAAGATTAAGCGATTAGGATTAAATGTATCCAATTCTAAAGTTTTCAGCTCTGATCAGGTTTGTTACATTACAATATCAGAAAAGGTTTGTTGCAAAGTTGTTCATGAAAACAATTTAAGGAGTTTATGTACTGACAAGTATCAAAGCAGTTTATTATCGAAGCAGTTCTCCAATTTCTGATGAATACAGTTTGGTTGCTGTACATTTTTAATGTAGTGAATTACATCATAATCATCAAAACTGAGATCCTTTATTACAATCTCAGCTTACATTTTCATTAGGTTCCAAAACTATATTTTATGTAAAATTCTTTTCTAAAAAAAACTGTAGAAGTGATTTTAAGTGACGCGTCATTCATAGCTAGTGACAAGTTCTGTACCCTTTAAAGCTTTGCCTGGTCAATAATTCATGAGAACTGAATCATTTTCTTTAGCAAGGTTTTTTTCTTTCAATTGTGAATTCTCTAAAAATTCTGACTTGCCAACTTCTACGAAACTCTGCATGCTTCATGCAGTCCTTCTATTATTTTGCCCAAGGTTGATATGTTTAATGTTTATACATTGCATATTGCCTGCACTCCACTCTTAATTATAAATGCATAAATTCAATGTATATGTTTACTGTATATTCAACCGTTAGTAAATAATCGTTAAAACTGCTCTAAACTTGTTAAATTTTTAACTCAGCCTTGCCTGGCAACTTGACTTTCTCTAAATTAGCCAACAAATTGAACTTTTTAAAAGAACATTTCTTAGGTTTTGCTCTGTCAAAATTTGAGTTTTCTGAGTTATGATCGGACATACATACAAACTACTTTATCTATAAAAATATATCAAATAATTAAACGAATCATGAGCTATGAACTTTTACCGGACGAATTGAAATTACCTTCGCTTGAAGATTAACACATCTGAAATAGGTCAAAACCTTGAATTAAACCATGCAAGAGATTTAACTATAAGAAGAGAATGAGATAATCTCATGTTTAGTCCATTAAAAGTGTCCAGCTCCGGTTTACTGCAGTACAGTTTAAAAAGACAAGGGTAACCTAACGTGCCGTTTCGTTAACAGTTAATTCGTTTGTCGGTATTTTAATCGAAACTGTTGCTTTACCCTTTTATAAACCCCACCAATCAGAGAATAGAATTTTTTCAAGTTTGGCCAATCATAGGAACTGTAAGCAGTATATGAATAAAAACTAAAATTAAATAGAAGATTTTAATTTAGATATTCGAATTTTAAAATTAGATTTCCCACAACGAATTTATAGATCTTGCAGTACGATTAAGAGCAATTCAGGAAATCGTACAGTGGTAGGCGATTATATCAAAACAATTAAGACGACTTTCGTTTTCAATTTAAATTATTATCAAGCTGTTAAACAGCATAAATACACATAAGCATAGAAGTCAAGAGAAGCAGTCAAAATCTTCTCTTTGATTACTTATAAACTAGTTTTCAAAAAAGCTTGATAACAAAAGTCGTTTTAATTGTATTGTCATAATCGCCTACCACTGTATGAAGTAAATTATTAAGGGTTTCCATGAAATGACCATATTTGCGCAAAATTTGCATAATTTTCGCGCACATTTTTTTGCGAACTTTTGAGCATTTTTGCGTTTTGTCTAACTTCTTTTGCGTAACCTTATTTTTACGCAAAAAAAATAATATTTTTATGCAAATTGACTAAAATGGAGAGTGAAGTTTCAGCACAAAATCAAACAATTATTCAAAAATGTACTAACAAACAAATTATGATAATACAGTATGCTACTCTGGATTGGTTACTTTTAGTTACAGAAAGGAATTGACTCTTTGCCACAAACTCTGATTTTCTAATCCCAATATCTTTGGATTACAACGTCGTAAACCTGTGAAATTTCAAACTATGGCTTTTGTTAGATCAAAAAATATAAGTTTGAAATATCAAAGGTTTACGACATTGGGTTCCAAAGATATTGTGATTAGAAAATCAGAGTTTGTGGCTTTAGGGACAAAACTTATAAATAGAAATTTAAAAATTTAAAACTGCCTGAGGTGGCAACCTAAGATATTTTAAATGTTTACTACTTCTACTCGAATGTATATGATTGAAATATCAAAGGTCACTGAGATAAAGACAACACTGAATATTCAAATTTGTAAACAGCCACGACTTTAAAGTGTCGCAAAGCCTTGGGCTTTTGTTTTACCTCGCCAACTCACTGATACCTTCTGTAGGCCTAAACATATAAATTTTTTTAAATGCTTAAAATGAGTAATTGGCAAAATACTGCTCGACTTTTGTGTGAGATCGTGCACATCTTGATTTGCAGTGTGCCATCATGCATTAGGTTACAAAATAGAGTTTTAGGCAAGTATTCATTTCTTTTTTAAGCTTTACAATTATATGCAAAAAAGTGCAATCTCATCGATAACTAATTTATACAGTTTAAACCTTTTATTCAACCTTTTACTGAGAATTTGTTTCGCAAAATTCCTCAAAATAGAAAAACGCTAAAGGGGAAATAGCGTAATTTTTTTTTAACGAAACGAATCTTGCGAATAATTGCGCAAAGTGCTATTTTTTCTCGCAAAAATGTAGCGCAACGAATGCAAAAATTTGGCTTTCTTCCGCAAAAATTACGAAAAAGCTTTGCGAATGGAAATCCTAAAATTATTATTCCCGTTAATGTGCTTGTGTTAATCGTAGTATATTATATATATATAAATACATATAAATATACAAACCTATACTTTATACCAGAAAAACTTAATTAGATAATATTTAATAATTAAATAATTTTATTATTATTTAAAAGATTTTCTATGGCTAGAAACATGTTTCCAGGAAGTATCTGTAGAAATTAAAATTATGTTTTAATGTTTCCGGGGAATTTTTTAATTTCAGTGTTAGTGCAGTTTCCAAAAATATTGCTTACTTTTCTATTTTATAGAATCCTTCATTGGGAGATTGTAAAATAGACAAATTTTTAAATAAATGTAAAAAATTTACATTTTTAAAAACTATTTGTTTGATTTTATAACAACATTAAATACACATTAAATTGCATAAATGCTGTCTTCCTATAATAAATGCTCTAAAATCCGGATTGTGAACAGCTGACTTTAATTTAATCGGATATTAGTCCAATCGATATAGCATATTGTATCTGTAATTATTATCAAACGTAACTTTTACACAGTAGAAATATCCAAAAAGAGGATTAAGAAGAAAATCAAAGGTGTCTACATTGGATAATCAGATTAAGCGCTCGTGATTGAGAATATCTCATTCTAAAGTTTTCAGCTCAGTATGAAAAACTAAAATTAAATAGAAGATTATAAATTAGATATTCGAATTTTAAAAGTAGATTTCGCACAACGAATTCATAGATCTTGCAGTACGATTAAGAGAAATTCTCCCTGTGCTGCAAAAACATATCGAAAGTTTTATTTTTTTAATGCAAAAGGAAACTTTAACTATAAAAAAATAGTTCGCACATTAGAGGTTAATATTTGCTTAACCTTTTAAGTAAGCATGGTGTTCGTACTTTGGCAATGTTTATTTTATTGAACTTAAAAGCAAATATGCATAAATTCAAACAATCCATATGTACGTATTTTGTTATAAAATATATATATATACTAATTACTAAAGTGTAATCGTCCAATGGAATATATTCATAATTTATTAGACTTAGAACTTTTAAACCAGCTATAAACATTCCCGAGGCTCTACCAAATTCACTAGTCAAAATTTGAGGCAAATCGGTCAAGGAGTTCCTGAGTTATAATCGGACCGCCTAACAAACAGACAAATAAAATTGAGAACCCAGCATTGCCTGGGGTTGTCTCTTTAAAATTTAATCCACTCAACCTAGAGATTAGCTACTCTATAATATTAATATATAAAACACAGTTTTTTTTCCTTTTTATTACTGCACAAATTGTTTAAACACTCCTCGGCACTTCTCTTGGATTTCAAACTAAAGTTTTGACATTTTTGGGAAAATAAAAATAAATATGTAATCTATCTATTTGTATTTAGGGAGGAGGAAAGTGAAATAAGAAAACGCTTGAATTTTCATCTTTCTTCAGGAGGCTTAAAAAGGAAGGTAACAAGTTTATGGTAATCTTTTATAAATATTCTTATCAAAAATTTAAAATATATAATATACATATAGGAGAACGATTTTTGGACATTTTGTTCTTGGGCGTTTTGTATCCACTCCGTTAAGACAATTTCTGGGCCGAGCGCTGCAGCTAGGATAGGATAGGGGGCCTAGCGCTGCGGCTAGTACAGACTAGGAGGCCGAGCGCCGCGGCTAGGACAGGCTTGGGGGCCGGGCGCTGCGACCACAAGATCAATTATTCAAATGTTACACAATTGATAGGAGGGGGCGGGGGAGGGGGAGATAAAAAATCGTTCTCTAGGAAATTACCCATATAGCTGATACAAAAAGCTGAGAAATAGGAATACTTTAGTCTGTATCAATCCAGATACAACTCTCTCTCTTCATTCTCTCTCTGTATTCTCAGTGTGTATCGTTCAGATACAACTCGCTCTTGAGCTCAATGTTCTATAATAATACGTTAGTCTGTATCAATCCAAATACAACACTCTCTGTATTCTCAGTGTGTATCGTATACAGATACAACTTGCTCTAGAACTCAATGTACTACAATAATACATTAGTCATGTATCAATCCAGATACAACATACAACACTCTCTGTATTCTCAGTGTGTACCGTATGCAGATACAACTTGCTCTAGAACTCAATGTACTACAATAATACTTTAGTATGTATCAATCCAGATACAACACTCTCTGTATTCTCATTATATATCGTACAGATACAAATCTATACTCTCTACAGGAGAAATAATATGTGTCCAAATGCAATAAAGCATGGTTCATGTGTAACTTATCTGTATTTAAATTAATGATGGGTGTTATAATAATTTGGACCGATTGGTTCGTTCAGAAACTAATAAACGTAGTTTGGTACAGATGATGTATAACGTAATATATATAGGTATGTTCAGGTTTACAAAATATGGGGTTCGTTACTATATTTATTACAAATATATAGATATTTAGATAATATATAATTCTATAGGCCGACCTATTTGACCTTCCAACCATCTCTAAGAAAGTGAAAACTGGAGAGAGGGATTCAGCTTCCTCTACAGAGCAATTAATTTCAACCAGTTCAAGTCCAACCAATCCAACCTAGACAATCAACATTGTTCATGGATAGGGTAAATATCATGTCAAACTAAACTAAACTGAACGTATGATTGAACTCTTTTAACATGCGTAATTGAAGAGCTGTCGATAAGAATAAAAATGTTTTCAATTTCCATGATGTATAACCGAAAAAAATTGCTATTCTTTTACTTTAAATAGCAATTATAAAGGAATTGAGTCTTTGCCACAAACGTTGATTTTCTAATCCCTATATCGTTGCAACCCAATGTAGGAGACCTTATACATTTCAAACTATGAATTCTGTTAGATAAAATAATCTAAATTTGAAATACTGGTTTGGAAAGACATTAAGATTAAAAAAGTAGAGTTTGTGGCCAAGACTCAATTCCTTTTTATCTTTGCTAAAATAATAATGATAATAATAATAATAATAATAATAAAAATAAAAATAAAAATAAAAATAAAAATATTAAACGATAATTGTCATTTCATACAAATTATGCATTTTTTTCAGATGTTAAGTGAAAATTCATGCAGATTTTCTCGAGTCTAAGTACACAGTACAGAATAATATTGTACAGTGTTCTGTGTACCACTGTATACAGCATAAACAAGCAGTGACAAATACACATAAAAACAGATAAAGATAAATGTATAGTTAGTGAAACTTAGTATAAAAAAGGTGTTAAAAGCATAATACAAAATATTCATAAATGTTTTTTTAAATGAGTAAAATTATTAAATTCAGCCAAAAAAAAGAGTTTGTTTATAAAGAAGTCTAAATTGTTATCGGTACTGTTCTAGAAGTTATTCTTCAAAAGGATCTCAGTCCAAAATATTATTTTGCTAAATTTATATTTTTAAAAAATTGATTTTTCCGGCCCAAATTGATAGCTTTCCGGAGATGTTTTATTATTGTAAATGTAGAATGGAAAAGTACAATGTAAGTACAGTGTACAGATGGCAAAATTGTTCATCCTTTAAACGTCAGTAATAAACTATTTTATAGTATTATGATATTAATGTATACAGTCGGATTTGCATTTTTTTAGTTGAAAAAATCTATATCGTGTTTTACTATTTACAAAGGATGAAACTGTAAAGACGACCTGAAACTGTTTCCCAGGTTGAATTATGTATTCTTCTATATTGTCTGTTGATGATTCGGCAACGTAAGAAACAAATTTATATTTGCAGGGAATCCTGAATATAAGAAAACAGATAAATTCCGTACAGTCGTCTCTGAGGTCTCATGCTTTGTAACCCTATACACTGAAAGAAAACTTTTAACTTTATAGATATCTCCTTCAATTAAAAGATAGAGAGAAGAATACCGCATTTTTAAAACCTTACAGCGAGCAATGTTTTTACTTCCTTTCTTATCTATATTAACAATCCGAAATTAAAGTCAATTTTCAAGTTCGCGCTAAATTTCCTATGTTTTTCGGGACACCCTGTATAAAACATTTATTGTTAACTAAGTATTCAGTTTGTAAACCAGGAATACCAAAATAATTATAAAATCAATATATCCAACCTAGAACCATTTCAGGCTTTCCTTCCAGGAAAACTTTTGTACAGTGAGCACTAGGAAACTCTGGAATAGGAAAACGACTGTTTAGTCTTAAGTCCTGGACTTTAATAGTCAAATATATAGACGTGAGACATAGGAATGTGCAGTGTAAACAGACCCATTTTACAAAATAAGTGAGTTAATAACTCAATGGTAAAACTATTTGTTTTGTAACAAAATCAAATACACTCAAGTATGGGTTTAATGTCGTCTTGCAATTCCACAGTTTTCTTGTTCTTACTGTATTAAAAATTGATTTATTGTCAAACAGAACACGTCTGGTTTATAATTTACCATTTCAAAAACAAAGTAGTTTTAATCACAATTAAAGGCTTGAAAAAAAACTTCAAATCATGTTTCAGCACTTGAAGGGACTGATGTTATGGATTTAATAAACCTTCAACTAAAAAGAGGGGCATGCCCGATTCACAGCGATACCTTTTTTTGAACATAATGTGGAAGATATCGTCGTTTTTCCATAATAAAAAGTGTTCAACTCTGTAGCTCACATTGCGCGCTTACATTCTTTGTCTATCCTGCACAAAATCTGCAAGTAATTTTTTATTCAAACTTTTCATTCTTAATTTATCCATAATTATAAAGATAAGTTTTTTTATTTCTTAAATTATCTCTATATTAATTTTCAACCAAACCAAAATTGCGAACTTTAAGAGCGTTTTATACTGTCATGCTACAGAACCCAAATTTATGTTCATTGAAAGGCAATGTTAAGTAAGTTTCAGAATGTCAAAAAATATAAAAATCAAACCATGATAAGATAATATGATAATAAGATAATATGATAATAATGATATTAAGAGCTAGTCGTCGAGCCTTTAACAGCGTGTTCGGGACACTGTTTATAATGTAATTTTTTAAAGTGAATGTAAGCGTAATTTTATGTGACCCACCATGCAAAGATATCAATTCCCGATTTTCAACGGTACCCTTGAAACCTTAATCTTATCAAAAATCTGGAAGATAACGCCGAAAAGTGATGGTTTCTGTATACGCAAGGATGTAATGTAAGGAAAGTTATTTCAGAAGTGTACGCATCTTTTGTACTGTAGTTTACTGTCTCTGGGCGGTAATGTAAACACAAGACAGATGTTATAACCTGACATGGGATCCATCGTTCACATAAAAAATCAATGAAATATTCTGGTCATAGGAAACTATTATGTGAATTATCAAAATTATCAAAATTTAATGCTTTTAACCTCCTCGGATACTAAACGAACACTGATGCATCTATTTTTGTTTACAAATTCCGCCCAAAGAGAACTGGTTTCAATATGTATACACGACCGCAATTAACTTTCCTTGCATTACATCCTTGTGTATACGTACATTTCTCCCTTGTTTCTAGCTTTTAAGCCAGACATGTCATTTCTTTCTGAAGAGAAACCACAAATAAAAATAAAAAGCTTAAATAAACAAAAGCCTGGATAATGGATATCTAATGCAAACTTGATCGGACAAAGCTTTCAAGGATACAATTGTAAATCAGGCATTGTCATTTTTGTCATGGTATAGGTCAATTGAAACTAAGCGTACTGTCCCTTTAAAGGGACACTATCAGCGGATTTTTGTTTAATATATTTGTTTCATAATTCATATGCATTCATTCATATTTTTATTCAACTAAAAAACACGAGATAATACAAATAACAAAATCACAATTTATTATGTAGTTTGGACCCGCCTAACCAGAGTAGGTTGTTTTAATTGGTTGGCCCACTATAAACGAATGAGAATTGCAGATAAAAACAATGTACAATGTACATTTTAAACATAATAATGATGATAAATCAGGAAAAGGTAAGGAGGAGGTGAGGGAGTATAAGGGAAAGGTAAGGAGGAGGTGAGGGAGTATAAGGGAAAGGTAAGGAGGAGGTGAGGGAGTATAAGGGATAGGGAGGATACTCCCTTAAAAAAATTTCTAGAAAATATTGTCTTCAATATGTTACTTATCACAAACTATAATTATAATCCTTACATCTTTGCAACCTGATACCGTAGACTTTTGATATTTCAAACTATACATTATTATTCTACATCTTATCCAGGAGATACAGGTCATTGTTCTTTATCACTGGTATTCTTAAAGTTCTAAAGTGAGAGAAATATTTTTATGATTTGTAATTCAATGAGTTGTAGTTTTTAAAGATAATCACAGTGATTTAATTAAAAGTATTACACAAAGTTTATATGTAAAATTATATAAGCTAAAAGAATAATATTATGTCAGCAAGTTGTTCTAAGTTCTATACATTAGATTTCTTTTCAACTTTTGATAAAATTATTGAAACGTCGTTCTCGACAGAGATTTATTTTCTGTTGCAAATGCTTGTTTTGTAAATCTCTCTGATCTGAGATTGAATTTAAACCGGAATTTAAACCGCCGCCGCTCAAATTCTTTAAATTCGGCCACCATGAGTAAAACGTTAGTTAAGAAATATTTAAATAGTTTGATGTCCCGTTGGAGCATGCATGGTAAGATCTGATTTTACAAGAACTATTATATACAAGTATGAACAATTTATATCTTGAAATGATGAATATGTTGTGTAATAATAAAATTAGTTGTAATAGGAAACACTTAGAAAAATGCTTCTCCTCAGAATTTTGGTAGCTAAAGACGTCCAAACCTCGTACATCCTTGAAATCATCTCTGGATTGTTCGGAAGATTAATGTCGCCTATTTTGGCATAATTTTGCATAATTACATATTTTTATAATAATATTCAAAATATTTGCTTCTAGATTGGCTTTTTTTACAATGCAAAATTCCCTTAAAGGCCTCATAATTGCTTCTTTTACTTACAGATACTTTATATATATTGGTTTCGTTGATCTAGCATAGTCATTAGACAACTAAATCTGATAAATCTACTAAGAGGAAGCTTCCGCAAGTTGTATTTCATATATCTTTCGAGACAGAAACTTCACAGTAATTCAGAACATTAGATGTAAAGGTCCTAAAATCCAAACAAAAATAAAACCTCGAAAAGTCGTCAAAACTGCGGCGCAATAATATAAAGTTAAAAATATCAAGGTTAAAACAATCAGGTTCCAAAGATGTAGGGATCGAGAAATTAAAACTTGGCAAGTGTTCAGTTCCTTTAAAGGGAGTGACCGGCTATGTAAGGTAGTTGAACTGAGCATGCAGTGTTGTGGAAAACTTCTTTCGGACAACTAAAAATAAAGTAAAAATTATAAAGTAATCTAATTAGATGGCTAGGAACACATTTCTCAAAAGAAATTTGTCAATAAATCAATGATAAAATCGATTATTTCGTTTTCATCATTGTATTGAATTTCTTATTTTCTTTGAATCTTATCGCAGATTTCTTCAAAGGTCGTCTTTTCAATAATAATTTAAGAAATTCTGCAAAAAATCGTTGTGAATAATTAGTAACCAGAATAATGAGAAAATAGAAACTAATAATAGAACAAGATTACTTATTTTCGATGATAAAGATAAATTTTTATTTTCTCAAAATTTTCCTAAAATAACGTCTGTAGTTTATTGTAGAACCTTTTTTACATTTTATGTCGTCGTTATTTAATAATTTTAAAAAACTAATTCTGAAAACGTATCCACCCCCAAAGTAGGAGTCTTGAACGTCGAATTAGCGCTCAAACTCAGTATTTACAGATCTTTAAAAAGTTTAATATGTCTCAAATGAATCCGAAAGGAGTTTTCCACAACACTGCATACTCAGTTCAAGTACCTTACATAGCCGGTCACTCCCTTTAAAGCTTGTCCAAACCTGAAAACAGGCAGGTTGACCACAAAAACAATAAATATTGTATTAAGCCCTTAAATTAAAAGCTCTATTGCTCAGAATTTATGCCACAACACTAAATTATAAAAAAGTATAAAAATAAATTTTAAATCATTTATAATAATCACAGGATACAGCTTAAGTCAATCTTAATTGTATGTTTATTCTTTATATGCTTCTTCAATCCATACTGAGATGTAGCATTGTAAACACAAAGAGAACATGGATAATTTTGTAAGTCGTGTTTAGTCTCTTTATGTTGTTTTAAGTTGTCTTTTGTGGAGGCAGAAAACGTGCACTGATCACAGGCATGCTTTACTCCTAGATGAACACATTCTTTGTGTCTTCTCAGATGAGCACTGTCTTGAGCAGCATACTCACATAGATCACAAGGAAACCGGATTCCTTCATGCTTAACTTGCTTGTGCTTTTTCAAGCAACCCTTTCGTTTCCCAATGTATGGACACAGATCGCATAAAAACTGACCCTCTTCGTGTCTTAATTTGTGAGTTTTTACATTAAATTTTGAGGTCGTTACATAATTACATAGGTCACAGGAATAACTGTTACTTTTGTTATGAACGTTTTCTATATGCACCCTTAGATTACCCCGCGTAGAAGCCATATGGTCACATTGATCACATAAAAATGAAGTGGATTTATCGTGCTTGCTCTCAACGTGGTACTTCAGATACCGCTTACTACTGGCTACATATTCACATGCATCACATGGGAAAACGCTGACTGGGTTCGCACTGTCAAACTCGTTGTGCTTAATTGCCTTGTGTGTTCTCAAATGTTGTGCATGTGAAGCCAGGAAATCACATTTATCACAGGAATATTTTATTCCACTGTGCACAGTTTCTTTGTGAAGTTTTAATTTACCGAGACGAGGCGCTGAATAGTCACATATATCACATGAAAATTTTCTTCCTTCATGGACATTCCTGATGTGCCGTTTCAGATTACTCTCCGCGCTGAAGGAATTTGGACAAAGATCACAAAAATATCGAACACCCCGGTGTACGTTTTCAATATGTAACCTTAAATGAGAAATGTTTACAGTTTTAAACTCGCAATGCTCACACTGATTAAATGATTCTTCGTGTTTGCTTTTCTTGTGCCATCTTAGTTGTCCTTTGGACCCTGAATAATCACACATTTCACAAGAGTATTTCACTCCGTCATGCTTACACTCTGTGTGTACTTTCAAAACCTGGTTGGATCCAGCAACATAATCACACAAGGTGCAAGGGAATTTTAACTGTTTGTTCTTCGAGCCATTAATAGACCCATTGCCTGAAATATTTACAACTGATAAGAAAATGTCATGTCTACAAATTTCAAAGAAAGAAGATAAAAACATAATTAGGGTTCAGGACGTATACATAAGATAAGTCAGCTCAGATTTTAACTGAAAACTTTAATCAGCAAAATCTTTCGTCCATCTTAGAACCTCTATGAGTAAATCTACGAACTTTAGAAAAATATAAATAATCCCGCCGATTTGATACAAATGTCTTAATATCATAACATCAAATTTGTAAATCAACAGAAGATTATGTTGAATCATATCAAATTTAGAAATTCCAAAATAGTTTAAAGCAAAAAAGGACAATTTTGCTGATCAAAAATAAAAAATCTTCATTCCAAAACTTATTTCATATCTAGGGTTTAAGAGAACTCAAAATCGAGATTTTGTGAGAAGAGAAGATAAATGAATATCCTGAACCTTATACCTTTAACATCTAGCTTCCATTCTTCCTCTTCTTTCAATTGAATGGTGGGCTCCAGGCATTCATTACTCTCAAACTCTTCCATCTCTATTTTCATCTCCAGACCATCATTCTCCAGGTTCTCCAGGTTCTCCAGATCATTACATTCATCATGGATATCCATTCTTTCCGGGTTCTCAGTAGTTTCTGGATTTTCAATATCATTAAATTCATCTTTATTAGTTCCATGAGAATCTGAAAAATTTTAATACATTTATGCACACTAGGTTTAACTTTAAAGGAGAATTATTTTACCTTGAATAGCTTTAAAAACAAAGTCGGTTTCATCTTCAAGCCAGGATACTCCCAGAGTATACACGGTGTTAATGGAGTCAATATGTTGCTGGGCAGCATGGATAACATCATCGAACCTCTTCTGCTCCTCTTCTTCCTTCTGTATCATCAGGTTGATCTGTTGGATTAGGAGTAGGTTATCTTTCATTCCATTCCTCAGGTTGAGAATATCAATCATTATATGTTTTAATACTCGTTTATCATCAGTCACAGCTTCTATGCTCTGGTAAACACAAACAAAATAATTTCATAAGTGCTTAGGATCCGGATCCGTTGGATCCCAACATTTTGGCTTCCTGGATCCAGATCCGCCCAACTAAAAGATAAACAGGGAAGGACAAGTTGAGATAACTATAAGGAAAGGTGAAAGAAAAATCAAATCCGAAAAATTCACAGTATCAGGATCTTCTCCAATCCCCCGAATATGAAATAAGTTTACTTATTTTGTATTCTATCTGGAACCCTGATGACAAATCTACAAATATTCCCAAGCAAGTAAGCAAATAATTCTAATTTGTACCTGTAAGTATTTAAAAGCTAAGATTCTAACAAACACTTTGTCGGATTCCGACATTATCTCTGAAAAATGTAAAATTTTGAGTTCAATTCTTGACACTTTATGTATTTTTTAGATAATTTTCATTTTCTCTTAAACCTGATACAAAATGATTTGATTATTCTTGATGTTTGCTCTTCGTGTGCTTCCTCAATCCGTACAGTGTGGTCGCAACATAGTCACACTTTGAACAGGGAAACTTTTCATCGTTGTGTTTACCCTCTTTATGCTGCTTCAGGTTACCTTTAGAAGACGCGGCAAAGTTGCATTGATCACAAGGATATTTAATACCAAGATGAACACTTTCTCTGTGACTTCTCAAATGAGCTTTATCGGCCGCTGTAAAATCACACATATCACAAGCAGCTCGAATTCCTTTATGGTTCGCTCTTTTATGACGATACAACAAAATTTTCGTACCAACATAAGGACAATGTTCACATGGAAATGTGTCACCCTCATTTTCTTTGGTATTAGCTTTCTTTGGTTTATCTGAATGCTTAAAATGTATGTGAGATTTAAGATTTCCAGAATTTTTACAAACATATGAGCATTGATCACAAAAATATCTTGAATTGGTATGAGCGCCATCAATGTGCATCTTCAAAGTTGTCACCTGACTAAATGTTTTGTCACATTGATCACAGGAATATCGAAATCCTTCATGTGCACTCTTAATGTGCCTCTTTAGATTAGTTTCAGTGGAGAAGTTTGAACTGCACTGATCACAATAAAGCTTTAAGCCCAGGTGGATGCGTATCTTGTGTTCTTTCATGTGAGATAATCGTGTAAATACAAGTTCACATTCATCGCAAGGAAATTTTAATCCTTCATGTTTGTTCCTAATATGTAGTCTCAAAATAGGCTTGGTGCCGTGGTAATCACAGTGGGGACACTTTGATTTACGTTTTTCATGTTTATATTCTATATGATTCCTTAGAACAGCTTTACAGTGGGCAGCATATCCACACAGATGACACACGTGTTTGGGTTTATCGGACTCATGTTTTCTTTTCATATGTGATCTCAAACCACTGGAACTCTTTCCTATATAATCACAAACACCACAATTGTGACTTATCTGAACTGTTTTGGAGGATTTGTCTAACTGAATTTCTTGATCAATGTGTTCTACTTTTTCCTCTTCATCTTCATCTTCATCTTTCAAATTAAGTTCTTGGTGTTCTTTCAATGTGTGCCTTTTCAGCTGCTTGTCTGAAGTTGTAGAATAGTTGCATCGAACACAAGAATATTTTGAATCTTGTTTTTTTACTCCAGACGGACAGGCATGGTCTGAAAAAACAAACATTTTATATCCATGTTTTTCTTCAGAGTTTAAAGGGACTAAAAGCTTTTTCTTCAAAATATTTAAATACAGTGTCTGATCAAGAGAACATGCAATGCAAACAATTGTGGTTTCTCTAAAAGGTGATTTTTGTAATTCTTCATCAAAAATGTCAATTGAAATTGAAACACTCACATTTCCTTAAAAAGGAAAGAACCTTTTTTCTTGTTGCTGCGATGCGTGCCCCCCCCCCCCCCCCCCCCCCCCCCCCGCCACATCTTGACAGCTGTTAATCTTGCTCTAAGATTGAACAGAAAGATAGTCAACAGTCTTTCAAATAAGGCAATAAGTAGGAAAGGAAATTAAACCAATGAATCAACACTGCTTTTAGAAAATGTAGTTATGCAGTCAAGATTATATACAATTATAATAAACTCAGTACAAATTTATTTAAATTTGTCTGAAATTTATCATTGTCTGAGAGTAGATAACACTCCTTTACAAAGAGCCGGTTTGAAGATGGGCCTGGAAAAATAAGTTTTTAGATTAGCGGGATTCAAAGCAAATTATTGAATAACAAAAAACAACTTTTTATAATGTACATTGTTACACAATTAGTTTGAAAAGTTAAACAATTACAAAATAAATTTTTACCTTGAATATATTCAAGTTTAATTTCTTGTTTAACCAGTTCGGATTCCTGGGAGAAAATATCGTCCTGAGGTTCCCGATCTATTCCCGAGGTATCGTCCGCAACTTTCATCTCTGTTTCCTGGGAGAAAATATCGTCCCGAGGTTCCCGATCTATTCCCGGGGTATCGCCCGCAACTTTCATCTCTGATTCCTGGGAGAAAATATCGTCCCGAGGTTCCCGCTCTATTCCCGGGGTATCGTCCGCAACTTTCATCTCTGATTCCTGGGAGAAAATATCGTCCCGAGGTTCCCGCTCTATTCCCGGGGTATCGTCCGCAACTTTCCTCTCTGATTCCTGGGAGAAAATATCGTCCCCACCATTCAGCTCTGATTTATGAAGGGAAATATTGTCTCCAACATCTAGCTCTATCTTTATATCTTCACAATTGATTTCATCTTGTTCAATCTCCTCAAAATCCTCAGATTGTTCCCTTTCAACTTCATCAACAGTTGACATTGTGGAATCTCCTACTAATTTATATTCATTTAATCCCATTTAAAGACCATTAGCCCCCCCCCCGGAAAATAGGTGATAGGTAATTTTCCGAAGGCCTTTTCTCAATGGCTATTTATCAAGTGGCGACTTCACAAATTGGAAATTATTGATTAATAATTCGGAACCCGGCTGGACTCAAATGTTATGAATGACAAGAAGTGGTTAAACTCCAAATGATGAGTTTAACCAATGAGCAAACAAAATAGTTCAAATGAGCCAATAAATAGTTCAATTGGGCAAATAAAGTTCAAATGAGCCAACAACTTGTTCAAATGATCGAATAAAATAGTTCAAATGAACAAAAAAAGTGTTCAATTGAGCAAAAAAATAGTTCAAATGAGCAAAAAAATAGTTCAAGTGAGCAACAAAAAAATGGTTCAAATGAGTCAAAAATAGTTCCAATGAGCCAAATAATAGCTCAAATGAGTACAAAACATTGTTCAAGTGAGCAAAAAAAATAGTTCAAATGAGCAAAAATATGTTCATATGAGCAAAAACATAGTTCTTAAATGAGCCAATAAATAGTTGACCAAGAATTGATATTATTGGTCACTTTGCTCGCAGCGCCCGGCTCTCTAGCCTGTCCTAACCAGAGCGTTTGGCACCCTAGCCTGTCCTAGCCGCAGCGCTTAGCCCCCTAGCCTGTTCTAGCTGCGGTGTTCGGCCCAGAAAGTGTCTTAACCTAACCTACCCTAAAATGATACAAAATAGTTGAAATTTAGGCCATGTACAAAAATAATAGGCGGGGGGAGGGGTTCACAAAAATATTTAATTCAATATGAGCTACAAAATAGTTGCTCATTTGACCTATCTGATTCATATAAAAATATGTTTTTTGCTCATTTGACCTATTTATTTGCTCATTTGAACTATGTCTTTGTTCATTTGAACTATTTTTTGTTCATTTGTCAGTTTCTTTGCTCGTTTAAACTATCTTTTTGATCATTTGAACTATTTATTTGCTCATTTGTAAGCTATGTTTTGGATAATTTGAACTTAATTGTTTTGCTCATTTAAACAATTTTTTTCACATTTCAACTATTAAATGCTTCATTTAAGCTAATTTTTTGGTCATTTGAATTATTTTTATGTCCATATGTGAAATATTGTTTGATCATGTATACTATTTTGTGATGATTGTTTGACCTATATTTTTTCATGAAATATAAAAATATTAAACTGAATATTTAAAAGTTAATATGAGTAAATAATGTGTTGTTTGAACTACAGGAAATGACGTCATTATCAGTAGTTAAAATGAACAATAGTTCAAAAGATCAATAGTTCAAAGGGCAGTATTTAAAATGCGGATCCACCTTACCTTGAACTAAACTAAAAGCAAACCCCGTTTCATCTTTAAGCCAGGATACTCCCATTGTATACACAGCGTTAATGGAGTCAATATGTTGCTGGGCAGCATGGATCACATCATCAAACCCCTTCTGCTCCTCTCCTTCCTTCTGTATCATCTGGTTGATTTGTTGGATTAGGAGTAGGTTATCTTCCATTCCATTCCTCAGGTTGAGAATATCAACCATCATATGCTTCAATACTCGTTTATCATCAGTCACAGCTTCTATGCTCTATTTTCAGAATAGATTTTTTTTAATACGATATCAGGTTGCAAACTTTTGTAACTTAAAAGAATATATCTTTATAATAAGGCTCTTCGCTCATATATACTTCTCAGGTATTGGAAGACGACTTTTAGAGTCTTAACTTTAAAAAGTCGAATGAGCCTGGTAAATAGTAATTGTACAGTGTTAACACACAAATATCAGTTAGTTAGTGATTTGATAAGTGTCTAGTAAAACTATTTTCTTTGTAACAACATCAAATACACTTAAATATTGCTAAAAAGTCATCTTGCTATTCCAGAGTTTTCTGGTCATACTGTACAGTAAAATATAACTATTAAATATTTTGTATATTTGAGGGTTTTATTAACTATGATTATTTCGTTAATAAAATTGTGTAATATTCCAGTTAAAACATTTGACACCGAAATCTAGTTTCCGGCCTATCCGAATTTTTCTTCGTTCAAGCAAGGTTTTTAATAAATTTCTAAACTTCGGCAAAGATTTTATCTTGCAAGCATTAAAATTTGTTAGAAAATTCGGCTAGGAGGGTAAAGTGAACATATTTACATACACTTATAATTTAAAAGATTGATAAAGTTCAAAACTGTTTTACTATAAATTTATGTTAATTGTTGCTTAAACTGTTTTATCTGATTGATTTCTTGGATTTAAAATCTCAGTCAAAACAAAATAAAAATAACAGATTTTACTTTTTCAAAATAAAATTTATAAAATAAGTCTAGTTTTTCAAAATCTAAATTTCCTGAAGTGCTCTCAATAATCTAAACCTTTCTGAATCCATTAAACTCATTTTATCTGAAAAATAAATATATACATAATCAATTTATTATTCAATAAAAAAAAATATATATATATAAATAGATCATAGTTCCTAACAATAGATTGTTGTCATGATATTCATAAGGGTACACATAGCTTCAAAGGTGTTAAATGTAAGCCTGAAAACTATCGTTGGATTTCATTAACTTCCCATGTCTGTAAAACCAGCAGTAGCATATGTAATGAATGTAAAAAGGCAACATTCAACCTTAATTACAACCCCCCAACCCTGGAATTGGTTTAAAATACAAAGCCATGTTAATGATACTAAATCAAGTAAAATTTTATGCCAAGTAAGAGGGGGTAATGCTCAGCTGGGCAATAGGTATAAAAACCGTTATGGATTTATTTATGATGTTTGCCCACACTGCGAGTTATTAGGCCTCAATATTAAGTTAACAGAATCTCATGTTATATTTGAGTGTCCAGTAGTAGCCAAGCTCAGAAGAGATTTATACATTTCAAAATTTATGTCTGAGTTTAAAGCAAAAGGCCCAATAGCTAATGTCCGGGTTTTAAGAGCTTATCTTGGCGGAGATGGTTCAGCAGGACAAACCCTAATGGTAAGAGGTAGGAAGCTGGGTAAAATGATTGAATCATGGCTCACACCAGTCCATGAACCACTTTAGTAACAAACATTCCACGCCATATTTACTGTTTTTAACGCTAGTTCTTATACTAATAAGTTAAAGAGTATATTTAAAGTGTTCCAGTATTACTGACTGTATTTAATTAACTCATTGGCAAAATGGAATGAAGGCACCTGGCGAATTGAAATGACGATCACGGCAATCCCAGTAAGAACATTCAAATTTGCAGGTACAATAAATTAAAAAGTTTTATTTACCGGTTCATTACTGAACTTTCCCTGGTCAGGATTACTTAAACCAACCAATGAACCAATCAATGGAAGTGTGTACCATATCCTGTAAGTGCTTACAAAGCACCCCCTTTATTTCTCCCCTAGTATCCACGCTTATCTGGCATACACATTGAATCCTAAAAATTCAGGCCAGATCTGAACCACTAGATCCCATATAGACCAGGGAAAGTGGCGGAGCTCAACCCTATCTTCAATGTGTTCCAGCCTACAGGTCGTAATACGTTGTCTGTAGGTTGATTGTTAATAATAATAATAATAATAGAGACAAAGTTACATTTATCAACCTTTATAAACCACACCTAGGGTTTTCCGTGCCAGCTTGTTGTCCTTGGAGTGTAGTGTTGTAGGAGATAAAGAAACTATTTGAAAAAATTTAAAAAAAGGGCGGGTTCAATGGTTTCAGGACTCACTGGTTCATCGTACAGTGAAAAACTGTAAGAACTCAATTTACAATCCCTTGAAAATCGAAGACTCCACTATGATTTAATTAAAACCTATAAAATTAGTCATGGTTTTAATATTGTTGATAAATGTACGAGTTTTCCCATGCTAGCAGATCTAATCTAATCTGCAGATTGAGCAATAAAACTAAACATATGATTTCTATTGATTCTAAACGGAGGGAGAGCAGCCATAGCAGGGCTGTTTTTTAGGTTGGTCTCCTGGCAGTTTACCGTGGTGTTAATTAGAACTGAACTGATGTGATACGTCGTTGGACTGGGTTTGGAGAAGACGGAGGAACAGGGTCAGATTTGCTCAATTAACATGTTATAAATTTGGTTCTTGATTTGAGACAGTAGGCAGAAAACAGAAACAGAGGCGCCTGGAAATTTTGCATGTGTCCTTCATTTTTTATCTTGATACACTAGATATTCGTAAATATAATATTGAATATAATATATTCTGCATGCATGATACATGCACTCTTATGAATATCATGACAACAATCTGAAATTTTCTTATATACTCCACCAAGAGCCCTGTAAGGATTCATAACATAAACACAAGTCTGACTTTAACATTTGCAGATCATGCCTGAAAGGAGTTCTTAGAGATTGTCATTTCAATTAAAGTTCAAACTTTCAAAATATTTGAATGGATTTTTTGGAGACCATTTTTATTTGTCTTACTATGGAGAATTTAAAATCCTGTTCCTTAAATTTCAAATTTCCTTCAAAAATATGAAAACATTTCCTAATTTAACACAGAAGTTCAGTTTTCTCTTTATCAATAATTCATTTAAAATTTCTCTATTCAGAAATATAAAAAGTAAATCGAAAATCGGAAATTGATAAAGAATAACCAAAAAACATATTTTGAGCTTGAATTTGTAAAACACATATTTTTGCTGCATGGCGAAAACTATTATACAATGTACTTAATACCTATTCGTGCTTTTGCTTTAAATGCTTCGTTAAACTATATTTTGTTGTCCCTACAAATTGGCACTCTTCACAAGGATGTTTTGTTAAGTCATGTTTACTCAATTTGTGGTGTTTCAAAGAACCTGCCTGAGATCCTGCAAAATCACATTGATCACATTGATATTTGATCCCTAAGTGAACGGAATTTTTATGAGTTTTTAAATGAGCTTTCTGGCGAGCAGTATACTCACACAAATCACAGGGAAAAAGTTCTGGTTCGCCGTGGTTGATTTTCTTATGATGTTTCAGATACATAAGAGTCTTACCAACATATGAACACTCATCACATGGAAATATTTCTGGGTCATGTACTGAGAGTTTGTGATTGTTTAAAACAATCTTAGACTTCGCCAAATACCCGCATTGATCACATTGAAATTTGAAGCCATCGGGCTTTTTATATGTCTGTTTATACTTCTTTTTCTGGTTTGTAATATCACCGTGTTTGTTCTTTTTATGTTGTCTCAAATAACTGGCAATATTTGTTATGAAATCACACTGATCACATGGGTATGTTATACCTTTGTGAACCCCGTCAATGTGCTCTTTAAGCTGAGACTGCTGGGTTGCAGAAAAATCACAGAATTCACAAAGTACCCTTTGTCCTTCGTGGATACTTTTAAGATGTCTCTTTAAATTTCCTTCATCTGTAAAAGTACTTGTGCATTTTTCACAAGAAAACTTGATTTTTTCATGCTTTCTTTGAATGTGCAGTTTTAAAAGTGACCTACGCGTTGCTTTGAACTCACACTGAGAACAAGGAAAGCGTAGGCCTTGATGTATATTTCTAAGATGCCAATACATCTGATATTTTGAACCAGAAAACCCGCACTCATCACAGAGTTTTCTTTCTGACGGGTTTCCACTCTCAGGTTTATTTAGATCTTTTGTTTCTGCAGTTATATCGTCATTACATAATATTTTTACAGATCCATGTTCCGACATCTTGTGAGTCATAAGGATCCTCGGTGAAGTCCCATTATAATTACACTGGTCACAGTAGTACATTGCAGAATGCAGGTCTTCGTTTTCATCTATTTTAGTTCCACTATTAGAGCTGATGTCTTCTAAAAATATCAACTTTTGATTACTTTGTAATTCGGTAATTTATCGTAATAATTATTATTCCGTGTGAAAACTGAGCCCGCAATTTAAAAATTTCGAGAAAAAACGGCTCGGGTCTAAGTTGTCATTGGGCCTTATTTACGGCTTGAGCTTTCGGATTAAAGCTGCATCTCATTTTCAACAGAGTTGAGATCAAAAAACCGGTTTAATATTCTATTTGGCGGATTTTCATGGTAGGAATTGGCGCATTCCGGGTTTTGAGAGAACAAGACTCAACATTGAGCCTTACACTCCACTAAAACCAACCAAGGTCGGTTTTATTTTCATTGGGCCTAACTCCTTAAGTCGAGCCGAAGATCTTGCAGCTGTCAATCACGTGACACAAGCTGTCGTCAGATTGGGGTCGAAGATCGGGTCTTAAAGTCGGGTTTAAGGAATTACGCTTCGAGCCAAAATTTTTAAATCGCGGGCTCTGGTATCCTATGGTCAGAATAATATGATGGTTTAAATGTTTGATTTATTTTCTTCCCATTTAAAAAAACTGGCCTTTTAAGTCTTTGCACACCTTTACTAGCAACACTTTTAGTTGCCATTTTCATCGTTCTATCTTTGCTGAACTTTCTGTTAAAATTGATGCATTTTCAATGGGATCATGCGTGTTGCCACAACAAATTACATACTTTTTACCTTCCATATCATCTTCAGTTTCCTCTTTCAAGATAAGACAAGGACTCTGAGATTGATCTGAACCAAGTTCTATCTTTATATCATCCTCATCTTTTAATAGTTCCACACTAGAATTAGGATCTGGAGAACTCCTTCCAACAGTTAGTAGAACAGTATTTTCTACAAAATAAAATAAAGATCTAGAATCAGGAAGAGAATGATTAACTTTAAATTACAATAAGTTCACAATAAAAATGTATTCAAAATACCGTGTACGAACTTGAGAGCAAATCCAGTTTCATCTTTAAGCCAGGATACTCCCAGAGTATACACTGTGTTAATGGAGTTAATATGTTGCTGGGCAGCATGGATCACATCATCAAACCCCTTCTGCTCCTCTCCTTTCTTCTGTATCATCAGGTTGATTTGTTGGATTAGGAGTAGGTTATCTTCCATTCCATTCCTCAGGTTGAGAATATCAATCATAATATGCTTTAATACTCGTTTATCATTACTAACAACTTCTATGCTCTAATCACACGATAGATTTAGCATTTAAAACGGATTTCTTTTTTTCAAAACTTAAGAGTATATTGAAAAACAGAAAAAGCTCAAAGAATTGGAAGACAATAGGTGAAGGTAAGGTAAGGTTTAAAAAAAAGGGTAATATTTAAATACTGGGCTTTTAGGGCGCTTCGCGCCCATCTTCTATTCAAATTGTGAACATGTTCTTTTTGTTTACATTTTAAAACAAAGAAGAAAAATTTTTTGCCGATTATTAAAAAAAATTCGCGGATTTTCAAGAAATTAAATTTGTTTACAAAATTAAAAACCTTTAAAACACATTTTTTAAAATTTTTTTATCATTCATAAAGCTTCCCTTTGGTCACGTGATGTCCCACAAAAAATTTGGGCCCGACCGGTTCAGCCGTTTTTACGTTTATTGGATACAAACAAACAAACACCATAACAAACAGACAGACAAGCCAAATTTATATATAGAAGTCCTAAGAATCCATTTAATTTGAAAGTAGAATGTACAAATGGTAGAATGTACCAAAGCTACAAAAGGTGGAATGTACAAAAGATAAATTGTACAAAAGATAAAATGTACAAAAGGTAGATTGTAAAAAAGGTAAAATGTACAAAAAGTAGAATTTACAAAAGGTAGAATGTACAAAAGGTAAACTGTACAAAAGGTAGAATGTACAAAAGGTAAAATGTACAAAAAGTAGAATGTGCAAAAGGTAGAATGTACAAAAGGTAGAATGTACATAAGGTAGAATGTACAAAAGGTAGAATGTGCAAAAGGTAGAATGTACAAAAGGTAGAATTTACAAAAGGTAGAATGTACAAGTAGAATGTACAAAAGGTAGAATGTACAAAAGGTAGAATGTACAAAAGGTAGAATGTACAAAAGGTAGAATGTACAAAAGGTAGAATGTATAAAAGGTAAAATGTACAAAAGGTAGAATTTACAAAAGGTAGAATGTACAAAAGGTAAAATGTACAAAAGGTGGAATGTACAAAAGGTAGAATGTACAAAAGGTGGAATGTACAAAAGGTAGAATGTACAAAAGGTGGAATGTACAAAAGGTAGAATGTACAAAAGGTGGAATGTACAAAAGGTAAAATGTACAAAAGTTAGAATGTACAAAAGGTAAAATGTACAAAAGGTGGAATGTACAGGTAGAATGTACAAAAGGTGGAATGTAAAAACGGTGGAATGTACAAAAGGTGGAATGTACAAAAGGTAGAATGTACAAACGGTGGAATGTACAAAAGGTAGAATGTACAAAAGGTAAAATGTACAAAAGGTGGAATGTACAAAAGGTAGAATGTACAAAAGGTGGAATGTACAAAAGGTAGAATGTACAAAAGTTAGAATGTACAAAAGGTGGAATGTAAAAAAGGTAGAATGTACAAAAGGTGGAATGTAAAAAAGGTGGAATGTACAAAAGGTAGAATGTGCAAACAGGAAGACTATACAGAAGAAAGAATGAACCAAAGGAAGGTAGAATGTGCAAAAGGTAGAATCCAAGGTGGAATGAACAATTTATTTTTAATGGAGAAAAAAAAGTTATGCAAAATCTTTTTATTCCTTGAGATCTTGAAACAAAGACGATCTCTCTTTATTTGGTAAAGAAGCTTTTATTAATTCAGCCATTTTTCTCTGTAATCGAAATATTTCATTTTCTATCTATCCACGTATAGCAAATATCATGACATCACTGATGCTTAATTACTAAATTCTGTGTGCTTTTTTCTCAAATGCTTTGTTAGTCCATACTTAGTTGTCGCTACAAACTCGCACTGGTCACAAGGGTGTTTTGTTAGATCATGTTTACCCAATTTATGCTGTCTCAAAGTGCCTGCTGTAGATCCTGCAAACTCACATTGATCACATTGATACTTGATCCCAAGATGAACAGCTTCCTTGTGAGTCTTTAAATGCACTTTCTGGCGTGCAGCATATTCACATAAATCACAGGGAAACATCTCTGGTTCTCCATGGTTTATTTTCTTATGATTTTTTAAATACAGAGGTGTGTTTCCGACATAAGAGCACTCATCACAAGGATATTTCTGCGGGTCATGAAGAGAAAGTTTGTGAAGGTTTAGAAGGTCCTTTGACTTGGCTAAATGTCCACACTGATCACATTGAAATTTGAAGCCATCAGGTTTCTTATATTTCTGCTTATATTTATATTTTTTAACAGGTTTCACAACATCACTATGCTTTTTGTTTTTATGTAGTCTCAAACTACTTGCTTTAGTTGCAATATATTCACACTGATCACATGGGTATGTTATACCTTTATGAACTCCATCAATGTGTTCTTTCAGTTGAGACTGTTGACTTGCGGAATAATCACAGAACTCACAGAACAATCTTCGTCCTTCATGAACACTTTTAAAGTGTCTTTTTAAATTTCCTTCATCTGTAAAAGTACTTGTGCACTTGTCACAAGAATATTTGATGTTTTCATGCTTTCTTTGAATATGTAAAACTAAGTATGATCTACGCTTTGCTTTAAATTCACAATGTGTACAAGGATACCGGAGACCTTGGTGCACATGTCTTTTATGCCAGTAAAGTTGAAATCTTGTCCCAGAAAACCCACACTGATCACAAAGTTTAATTTCAGACGAATTTTGTTTCTTTAATTTTTTCAGACCATCAGTTTCTTCATCAGATGGAAATCTAGGAACCAAAATTTCATTTTTCTCGTTTGATCTTGTTCTAGTAACAGAGATAATTGATCCTGAAAATTATAAATTTTGTAAAATCTTGAACAAACCAGTTCTCTACGCAATGTATAAACAAATCTTATCCAATGTTTCTGAACATTAAATGAACATTATACATTTTTAAAGATTTTTTTTTTTTTTTTTTATTTTAATATTAGAATTTACCTTCCTTTTCTTCTTTAGATTCCTCTTTTAAGATTAATTCAAGAGAATCGGAGCTCTGAGATTGATCTAAGGTTGAAGTTCCAATTTCTATTTTTATTTCTTCATCTTCCTTAATTGGTTCAAAGGTTGCATAATGAGAAGAAGAATCAAACGGCGAAGTTGAATTATCTAAAAACAAAAAAACTATAAAGTGTTCAGTCAATGTAACAAATAATACCTTGAATTAAACCCAGAGCAAAGTCGGTTTCATCTTTAAGCCAGGATACTCCCAGCGTATACACTGTGGTTATAGAGTCTATATGTTGCTGGGCAGCATGGATCACATCATAAAACCTCTTCTGCTCCTCTCCTTCCTTCTGTATCATCAGGTTGATTTGTTGGATTAGGAGTAGGTTATATTCCATTCCATTCCTCAGGTTGAGAATATCAATCATTATATGTTTCAATATCCTTTTGTCATCAGTCTCAGTTATTATACTCTAGGAAAAAAAAATTTAATTTTTAAAATGGCAATGTCAGAATTTAAATTTTCAAATGTTTAAAATGGCAATGTCAGAATTTAAATTTTCAAATGTTTAAAATGGCAATGTCAGAATTTAACAAAAAAAAAATATGTTTGAAATCTTTTTTGTTCCTCAAGTTCTTTAAGTAAATATAATCTAGTAAATTCTTCGTCTGGCGGATAAGGATTTATATCTGTTTGTTGGTTCATTTTTTCTGAAAATAATTTCTTTAACTTCATCAACATAATTAGAAATGCATAAATATGATTTTACCCAAACAAATAATATTTCTAATAGTCACCTTCCCTCAGCATTTGAAGTCAATTCAATTAAATTCGACAGTTTTTATTAATTTATATCTGAGAAAGTTATTTGAGACAACACACAATATAGAATATAAGGCTCTTATTGGATTTTAATGTATTTTTCATAACGAGGGCACCATACATGAGTAGAAAATCTATTCCAATTTAATAGATAATTAAAGGACATAAAGACTATTCAATTTTTTCTATTCAGAATTAATTAAGTCCAGAGTGAAGTGGTGGAATTATTAGACTTTAAAAACCCCAGCGTGCTTCTTTTATGCGGCGGATACAGAGAAAAGGGACTTACCTCTACCCACCCTTATATTTCTAATTAGACTCAATAGTAAAGGGTATATAAACCTTGAATAAAAATATTTTAAAACTTGGAGGATCTTTATTTAAAAATGACTAGTTTTGTTTAGAATAGTAAATGGATGATCTTTTATAACTTTTAACTTCATAATTCAGGCAGAAATTTATTTTGTTCAATGAACATTTATACTTGATATAATACTTTTCGAAATTTCATAATTTTTGTTCTATTTTCCATAGCACTCCATACGTTCTAAGGAACGTAATTTACTATGAGGAGGGAGGGGGGGGGGGGTATATTAAGGTTCCAGGGGTAGCATTTGTTCAAGTAAAATAAATGTCACAAATACAATTTAGTTAATGAAATGTAGTGTCGACCATATATTTATGATTAGTAGTAAATAGAGTTAAAATTTTGTACATAACGAAATTAAAAATAGTATTTATTTATATATAGATAAGGGTTAGGTTATGTTAAGACACTTTCTGGGCCGAGCGCTGCGGCCACGGGTTAGGTTAGTTAACACACTTTCTGGGCCGAGCGGTGCGGCTAGGACAAGCTAGGGGGCCGAGCGCTGCGGCCACATGGTCAATCATATCCATGTCTAACATATAAGATCCATGTATAAAATTGAGAGGAGGGGGGGCCTGGAGGGGGTCCAAAAATCGTTCTCTATACCAACCCAATTTAAAATATTCAAGAATTCTGCAGAAATGGATTGCAATGTTATTGTTTTAACTTTCTTTAGTCTAAGACGCGGTATTCGTATTCTGTCAAAGTCGTCTTTGATAAATAAGAAAATTACGATGGTGTATCTTTCGACCTTCGCAAATCCGATATACTCCACTTCTGACCTACGCCAAATACTCTATATTACACATCCGATCTACTAGCAATTGGTTTTACAGCTGCTAGATGGACTTGTGGCCGCAGTTCCCGGCCCCTTAGCCTGTCCTAGCCTCGGCGCTCGGTTCCCTAGCCAATCCTAGCCGCAGCGCTCGGCCCAGAAATTGTTTTATCCTAACCCTCAAATAATACAAAAATAAACAGCTGGCGTTGGTCCGACATTGCAGTAGGTCGGAAAGTTAGTATGTCAGAAGTTCAGCCAACATATCGTACCCCGGAGTACGTGAAATACACGACCACTTTCTTATAGGAAAGAATGGGCTCAGTAGGGGCCTGTACTGCAGGCCTGTAGGTAAAACTCGACCTACAGAAACTTGACCTCCAGGAAAACCCATTCTTTGGGAACCCAACCCATAAAAGAACTGCAACGACTGAGTATCAAGGGCGTATACAGAAATAAATCTAGGGGGGGCAAGATTTGCGCGAAGCGCAAAATTTTTTTTTGCCCCCCCTAGGAGCTCCTAGGGGGGGGCAAAATTCGAACTGTAAAGTCATAACACTTGGCTTCTTGGATATCAGGCATAAGTATAAGATACTTGAAAGGCACACATACAGTCCAAATAATTACCTTCTAAGCACTACTTTATCTCTCCTTCAAACAAAACTAGCAGAAAAAAAAATTGTTTTTAAAAAATCGACATTTTATTATACTTTTATAGGTATATTTAGTATTTAAACTAGAGATATTAAAAGACATTTTTGAAAATAAAAACTTAACTTAAACTTAAATTCTATGAGATGAAAAGAAGTACAAAGGTCCAGAAAAAAATTATGACTTGTAAAAGTTTCTGTTGTGAAAAAAAAGCTAAATAAATTATAATTTTTTGTTTTAATTAGATTTTTAAAATTCCACAGGCAACGCCGGGCACTTCAGCTAGTTTGAAATACAAATTGGGGGTGCAATGAATAAAGTAAATTCAATCCAAATTAAACACATCACTACTAAACAAGACTAGCATATAATGTAAAGTGTGTGAGCTGTACAAATGTATGCAGACTGTGTGTTCTCTGAACCCAACTAAACTCTGTGTACTCTGTGAACTTAAAAGTTAAAATTAGGTTAGGTTGGTTAGGTTAACTTGGTTACAGCATGAGCACTGCACTGTAATTATATATATTTTAAAATTTTGATTTTTTATAATAATCATGAAAAGCAAACTTATTTTTTTTGTGTTCTTCACTCTTCAGTTAAGATTTGAAAAGTGTGAAAGGCTTGCAGAATTCTAGGGGGGGGCTACGCCCCCCCTTTACAAGTCTAGGGGGGGCACTGCCCCCCATGCCCCCCCCTGTATACGCCCTTGCTGAGTATAATTCGTTTCCATGATTTATTTCATAATTATTCTCTTGGTGCGAAAAAATTTTGATTTAGAATTATGCAGGCTATATATAACAACTATAACGTACATATTATGTACCATGTGAAAATTAGGGTATAAGGATGCATGACAAAAAACAAACCAAAAAAAACAATTCTTAAAATGCTGCTAAGCCGTGTTTTTTTTATTGTTTGAATAATCAATTATCATGCTATCAATTACTGCAATTTTTTCCTGATCGTTACTAATAAATGCACCTGCAGTAGCTTTACTGGACCGTAGGTCGGATAGCAGGTCGCCTATTAAATACTTTTAGTGAAGACGATTTATCTGACGCAAGCGGCAAATTCAGTAAATAAACAACATAAGCTTGCAGAAAATTGGCAGTAAAGAGATTTTTCTTGCAAATTATGAGTTGCAGTGTCGTGTTTTTTAAACGATTGATCTGTACGTCTTAATTGTTTTAAATTGCATGAATCAGAGAGAACCTATGCATCCAAATAAACGAATTTTAATCAAGTTTTATATTTACTGCCGGCGGAAAAACTGGCCTGGCATGGTGTAAAGGTCAGAAGAAATGTAAATCATTCCTGAAATAAAAGTTTTTACCCCTGGCTCTTGTTCTCCCCAGTACTGTCATTAACGACCAGTTTAGGGTTCACCGAAATCCACGGCCGCGGCACTTGGCCGAAATACTTGGACGTAGCTTATGGCCGGCCCTAGCACGTTGTTGGTCCTCAATTCATATGTTTAATTGTTTCAGACAAAATGGAGTTTGATTTTTCATCGGATCTTTTGTCTCGTCGATTAGAGAAATTACGAGAAATACAGGAACATATATAAATTTACGATTTAGATTTATTTTTATTTAATAAATTTTAAGTTATGAATTTAAGTATTATAGTTTTAAATTTGAATAATCTTATTTTGAGCATGATCTGCTATGTGTGCAGAAGAAACTAGTAAATAAATACTTGTCAAATTTTGAGATATATTTAGAAAATTTACAATCGTAAAAACTTTTCTTGGAAGAAATCTTATTGTAGGAATTTTTTGAAAGGAAATTTATGCCCGTGAAACCTTTCTAAATATTTTTATAAATGTTTTTTTGTATGTTAGATCATAACTCGTGAACCATATTGACCAATTTGCTAAGCATTTTGAAAGGGTTACTCGGTAGAACCTCGGAAACGTTCTTAGCTCGGTTTAACAGTTCTAAACTGAGTGGGTTAATTTTTTAAAGAAATGTTTGAGGCAAAGCTGGGTTCCCGCCCTAGTCAGTTAATGAAATATTTTCCGGAACAGTTCAGTTTTTAAACATTTTTATATAATATATATATGTTGTAATATTAGAGTATCGAAACCGTTTCTAATGATAAACGAGTATTAAAATACATTATGATTGATATTCTTAATCTGAGGAATGGAATGGAAGATAACCTACTCTTAATCCAACAAATCAACCCGATGAAGGAGGGAGAGGAGCTGAAGGGGTTTAATGACGTTGTTATCCAGGCTGCCCAGCAACACATTGACTCTATTAACACAGTTTTTACACTTGGAGTATCCTGGCTCAAAGAAGAAACTGATTTTGCTTTAAGATTTATCCAAGGTATCCTATTTTTGTCACGTTTTTCTTACTACGTAATATTTTTTTTATCAATTCTCGTTTGAGGGCTATTACCGGTTGTACTGAAAACTTGTGACCAGGCATATATACTACCCAATATGTTATTGTTAACATATCTGATTAACAATGTGGAAGATACCGGTTGTGAATCGGTATGGAAATCCTTAAAATGACTGTAAGCATAATTTTAAGTGACCCTCCAAGATTTCCACGCCCGTTTCACAACGTACCCTCTAAACTCGTATCTGATCTAGACTCTAATGCAAGTTGTTTTGAAGACAACGCACAGTCGAAAATAGTCAGCTTTTAAAATCTTTGAAGGGTACCGTTGTAAATCGGGAATTGCCATCTTCGATTCACGGACTTAGGGTCAAATGTCATAGGGTAAAACGACCTAGGGTCAAACGACAAACGGTCCAAAAGGGGCCAAAGGGTAAAACGATGTATGGTCAAAAAAGATGACAAACGGGTATAAGTTCATTTAGACAATTTTTGGTTAATTAGAACTATGTAGCCACCGCGCTCGGTCCCCTAGCCTGTCCTAGCCGCAGCGCTGGGCCCAGAAATAGTCCTAACCTAGCCCTGAAATAATACATAAAATATTTTTTTCCATTTTGACCTTCGTCGTTTTACCCTTTGTCGCGTTTTTGACTGTTTGTCTTTTGACCCTATGTCGTTACATCCTGGATCTTTTGACCCTAGGTCGTTTGACCCTGGGTCTTTTGACCCTAAATTGTTCGACCCTTTGTTGATGAACCCCATCTTCTCATGGTAGGGCACTTGAAATTGTGAATCTATAGTTGTGCTCATCGATTTTTCAAATTCAGGTGATTCAGTTTTTCTACCGGAGCGGACTAAACAAAACGGATTCAAGGCCGAGGAGAATTCGGATAATTATGATGAAAGGTACGAGGATATGGAAGAGGATTGCGAGGAGGAAGATATTAAGATAGATGTCAGAGAACTGGAGAAACTAGGAAGTATAGATCCAAAACAAATCGCAGATTCTCTCTGCATGGTTCTCAAGGAAGAAACGGAACGAAAGGAAGAGATGAAAGGTGAGAAATTATCGATGCAATCTTAATTATTGGCGTTGTCGTTTCTTGTTTTTTTTTTTTTTTTTGGAGGGGGTGGGTTTCACGTTTTTTACTTTGGGATAAAACTTGAAAAATATTGCCCACGAACCACGTTTAATAAATAATCAAAAGCAAGCGGATATTTGTTTATGGTTAAAAGTTTAATAATAGCACGTTGAAAATTATAAAAAAAAATATCTCTCTGATTTCAGAATCTGTGGGCGGCAACGAATCCAAACAACTGCTCGACACAGAAAATATTGACTATAAATGTAACCAATGTGATTTTGTTGCCACCAGCCCCCTTCACATGAAAGAACATAAACAGAGCTGTCATCACAATATGTTCCATCACTGCGATCTCTGCAAATATGTCGGGACTTCAAGGCTCAAACTGAAAAACCACAATTTGCGGAAACACGACGGTAGAAGATTTCCATGTTATGATTGCGGACATGTTGCTACCACAGCGAAGGGGTTGGAGAAACACGTTAATCAGGACCATTCGCGGATAGACGATCATTGCGATCAATGTGAGTTCACTGGAACACGCTTCCAAGTAAGCGCACACAGGAAACGAAATCATTTAGAAGCTAAATTTTCTTGTGAATATTGTGATTTCAAAACTGGAAAAATGTTGATTTTGCGCCAACACACGAAGGGCCGCCATGAAGGTGTCAAATATCCCTGTGATCAATGTGATAGTGTGTTTACTGGAGAAAGAAACTTGAAACGCCACATTAAAACTATTCACGAAGGACAACGACACTTCTGTGATCAGTGTGAATACTCTTCAACTCAATTCCATCAGCTAAAAGACCACCATGACGGAGTTCATAAAGGGATAACATATCCGTGTGATCAATGTGACTATGTTGGAAACTTATCGAGTAATCTGAGAACTCACAAACGATGGCGCCACGGTAACATGGCGAGACCGGTAAAGAAGAAAAAAGAGAAGATGGAGAAGGATGAACCTGAGGAGAAAGTTGCTAAACCTGAGAAGATTAAATCTAAACCTGAAGATACAAAACACCAGTGTGATCAGTGTGGACATCTAGCTAGCACCAAGGGAAACTTGAAACTACACAGGGATAGGGTTCATGATAAAACTCAACTGTTTATGTGTGATCAGTGTAGTTTTACCACTCATCATTCTACATCACTTAAACAACATAAGGAGGGACATGAAGGAACAGAGCAGCATTGTGATCAGTGTGCTTATGTTGGCAAAACTTTGCACTATTTGAGAAGACACAAGAAGGTTAAACACGACGGGAAAACTTTTCCCTGTGATATGTGTGAATATGCAGGACAGGATAAAGCTCATTTAAGAATACACAAAGAGGCCGTTCATCTAGGGGTAAAATATCAGTGTTTGCAATGTGAGTTTGCTGCGACAGCAAAGACAACTTTGAAACAGCACGTTGAAAGTAAACATGACAGGATTAAACATCCCTGTAACCGATGTGAGTATGTGGCAACAACGCAGTATGGGTTGAAAAAGCATCTGAAGAATAAACATGATTTTGTTAACGTTCTTTGAATAGTGCCTCTACGGCTTACAAACTTTTAAACCCATTATCTGAAATATGTTTTGTCTTGAACAGGAAAAAATCACGTCAATTTTGTGTCTACTCCAGAAGGCAGAAATACATAAATAATTTCAAAGAGATAAATGTCTGTGAATACTCAATTTTACATAAACCCACTCAAAATTACCATAAACCAAGGGCATGTATTTTTTTGATCCAGCCAGAAAAATAATTTTGATTCATATTATGTCTTAAGCTTTTTGTTATCGAATTTTAGGTGTTTGGAAAAGAAAACAATTCTTGAATCTTAATGAATTTTGATTTAAAAACGCAGACTGACCACATTTTGAAAATCCCAAGATAGGAGGAATATGATGTTGATAGGTTAAGAGAACAATAACAGAAGAAGATTCATCAATAAATGCTGCAATGATCGAAGACGATTTTAAAGTCATTTTTGTTTACATGTTAATTGGGACACCTTGTAAAAATTAACACAAAGGAAAATCAAGGTTTTCAGAAAATTTTAGTTTTACAATTTACATATTTTAATTTACTATTTCTTAAGAAAGAAAAATGTACTGAACTGGTAACTTTTGTTTTGGCTTCTCATAATCCTGATCGCTTGACCTTGATATCCTCTGTGAGCACTTTTAATTTAAGGATCAAAGCTTAATACTCTCATTTCAGTATTTCCTTAGTGTACGATTACCATGCGGAATATCAAAGAAAGATTATATTAATCTGCAGTTTAATAAAGGTCGAGATCAATCATTTATCTTGATATCCACAATACAAGAGTTCCTGGCTCTGAACGACTCAAAATGAGCGTGATTAATTAGGCCAAACGGTCATTTGAAAAAAACAGGTCATCGTGGGTTTTACCTTTTACAAATTTGATATTTTTTTACATTTTAACATATAAAATACCATAATGTGAAAAAAATGTTACAAACTTTTGTTCTTATTATTTTTTAATAATACGTACTTATGTATTTTTATGTAGTATTATAACATTTTTAATACGTTTTTTATTATTGTAGATTGTAATCAGTATTTTTTGTTAATGAATGTATATAATACACATTTTGTTGATTTAATTTCGTTTACATTTGTTTATATTTAGTATTTACACAAGAATTATATTAACCCATTTCTTTTTGTAAATTGGCTGCTACTATTCACTGAGGGGGAAATTTTAGACAGATATTATTTTTTTGTAAAATGAGATTTTTAATTTTCTTATTTTTATAATGTTTAAAGTGAAATGTTTTAATACTGTTAATTTCAGTACAAAATGTCAGCTTGCTTATTGAAGAAAAATCTCCTATTTCTGATATCATGTTGTTCATGTTTAGGACAGATATCGAATTATTAAAGTGATTTAACTATGTGTATTGCCTATGCATTTTTGGAAATGTGTAAAATATTGAATAATATGTTTATTTCCAGTGAAAAAATGTCCGCAAAATATGATGTGGAGTGTCAATGGCGTCTACTTTCCACAGAAATCGAGGGAAATATTTAATAGTTTGTTTTATATATTGTTGAATTATGGGAAAATTTAATTTTACGTGAAGCTTGATTTTTCAATCGAGGAGTGTTACATTATTATTATAATAAATATTATTGTTACTACTTTAATTTGTAGAACTAGCCCTTCGGGGCGCTTTGCTTCTCGTTTTTTTAATTATAAGTTAATAAATAAAACAGATTTTTTCTTAAAATTGGTGCATTTTCTAAACTTAAAAATGACGACATTTTTTAACAATATTTTTTAACTTTGATCTTCCAAACTTTCCTTGGGGTCATGTGAGTTGCCATAGAACAAAATGGGCCCTATCTGTGAGGCCGTTTTTACGTTTATTGGATACACATAACACAAAACTACAGAGGGTCCCTTTGAAACTTGTAGCTAAATCATTCATAATAAATCTTTTTATTTTAAAATTGGAACCATTGAACCCCAAGAGGTTTTTAATTTTCATCGTTTCTTAGAGTGAATGGCAATCCTTTTGTAAAGGACTGTGGAGTTAAAGTGAGATTTTATAAATATAAAATCATTAAACCGTCCTAGAACAATACTTTCAAAACTTACGAACAAAAGGAGAAAAATCTGCGAGATAGTTATATCAATCTTAAAACGTTAAATGAGTGTGAAAGCTTTGCGAGATTCATAAAAAAAAACTTTAAAGGGATAAAGAGCATCAAATTATTACAAAATATTTGTGATTAGAGCATAGAAGCTGTGACTGATGATAAACGAGTATTAAAACATATAATGATTGATATTCTCAACCTGAGGAATGGAATGGAAAATAATTTACTTCTACTCCTGATTAAACAACGGGAGGGAGACGAGCAGAAGAGGTTTGATGATGTAATTCATACAGCTCAGGAGCATATAGACTTTATCAGTAAAGTATATACTCTAGGACTATCCTGGCTTAAAGATGAACGAGAATATACTCTTGGTTTAATTGAAGGTAAAATACTTTTTCTCCGTTTTGATTTGTCGCTTTTATTTTATTGATTGACTGTATTGATTTTACTGACTTGATTCAATTGGTCGACATAATTGACTTGATCGACTTCATTGAATTGATTGACTTGAATGACTTGATTGACTTGATTGACTTGATCGACTTGATTGACTTGATGGACTTAGTCGACTTAATGCACTTTAACAAACGGGTAGATTAGGAGAATAAATCCCCCCCCCCCAGGGAAAAATACGATTATCATTATAAAAACATATTTTCAAAAAGCATTCAAATTTCATGTTTCAGTTTGAATAATGTATGCATTTAATTTTTTTTTGTTAAAGGTATTAATAAGAAAGAAAATGAAGAAAATAAAGAACATGATAAACATGATAAACATGAAGAACATGAAGAACATGATGAAACTGAAGAACATGAGGAAAATGAAGAGGATATGGAAGAAATGTCAGATGATCTGAAAACCTACCATAATGCTGATGCTGATAATGAATCTATGGAGGAGTGTGAAGATATTAAGATTGATATTCTAGAACTAGAGAAGAATGTCCAGTTCAACCAAACGGAGGACTCCCAGGCTGATGTAGGGCTCGGAGTTAAAGAGGAACCTAAAGAAAAAGTCGAAGGTAGTCATATATTTAAAACTAAAAAGAAAGTATACTAATAAGAGATTTTCAAGGCGTGTTGTGCGGTCTAACGCATTGTTCTAAGTACATTACAAAAAACCACTCTTTGAAGATTTCACTATTTTTTAATTATTTTTGGCTGATTTTATGCCAGGATTGTTTTTACTTTTGACCTTCGAGAAACCTTACTGAAGTGATAGAATGTCTCACAGCAGTTTTGTTATGGTCAGATCTGTCCAGCCGTTTAAAACAATTGTGAACAAATAAAGAAGTATTTATCTTACAAGAATATTTATTCCTATTAGCTGACAATTTGTTTCAAACCAATCTTTGGTGTACATCTTATGACTTACGAATCTAGACAATAGATTACGGTATTTCCTAATTGATATCTTTTCTATCAGTCAATAGTTGAGCAAAAAAAAGAATTTTCAAATATGTCTCATGAACTGATATTTTTTTTAGAAGCTAAATTTGACGGAGAGTTTGAACAGAATCATCACCAATGTTCTCAGTGTGGCTTTGTAGGTGCGACTGCGCAGCAATTAAAAGAACACAATGAAACTCTTCACCCTGCGCTTATATACCATTGTGATCAATGTAAGTACAGTGGTACCTCAGAATTAAAACTTAAAGTTCATAAAACTCGTCAACATGAGCTGCGCCGATTTCCCTGTGATCAGTGTGATTTTATATCAACCACCTTGCAGCTGATGAAAGAACATGTTACGCGGAAACATTCTGTCAAATCATTTTGTGATCAGTGTGAATTTACCGGTATCAAGAGCGAGGTAACAAGACACAGGAAAATCCGACATGAAGGTTTAAGATTTGCATGTGATCAATGTGATTTTAAATCAACTAGTAACGCATATTTGACACGACACATTCACAGAAAACATGCAGGGTTTAAGTACTTATGTTACTTGTGTGAAAGAACCTTTACAGCCGAAAACAATTTGAATAGACACATTAAAACTGTACACGAGAAACAAAGACATTTTTGTGATCAATGCGAGTACACGGCCTGCCAGCAGTCTCAACTTAAAGAACATATTGACGGCGTACACAGAGGTATTACTTACCCCTGTAATGTATGTGACTATGTGGGAACATTGTCTAGTAATCTAAGAATGCACAAGCGAATGAAACACAGTGATCGTCCCAAAGTGAAAGTAGTGGATCAAGAAGCAGATCGTTTATGTGATCAGTGTGGACATGTTGCTAGTTCAAAGGCAAATTTAGGGGCACACAAGAAGACTGTGCACGAAAAGTCTGACCTACATATGTGCGATCAATGCGATTTTTCTACCTATAATCCGACATCTTTAAACACCCACAAGGAGCTGCATGATGGGATAGAACATCCCTGTGATCAGTGTTCCTATGTAGGAAACACTAAACACAATTTGCGATCCCACAAGAAGTTCAACCACGGAGGTCAGAAGGTGCCATGTGATTTATGTGAATACGCAGCTCATGATTCAGCTCATTTAAGAGCACACAGAAACGCAGTTCATCTTGGAATTAGATACCCATGTGATCTATGTGAGTTTGCTGCTACCTCTAAAGGAACTCTGAAACAGCACAAATTGAGTAAGCATGACGATACAAAACATCCATGTGCTCTATGTGAGTATGTTGGATCAACTGAGGTTAACTTGAGAAAGCACTTGAGGAAGAGACACGAATAGTGGGATACAATCTTGATCCTTTCTTTTACCATAGTAGAATGATATTTTAAAAGAAAATTTTTGTTATTTACTTGTTTTTGGTTTAAATTTTCACTCTTTTAATATTAGATTCTCACTTGATACCTTAACCCTTATATTCATTTATTTTTTCCTAAAATTGACTAATTTTCCCCCAAACTGAGAAAATATGTNGGGTGATTTATTTCTAGAAAATAAATACCCATTGATTGATAGACAAGAAAATTTACACTCTTAACTTCTGATGTACTGTTTATATTATAGTTGTCTAAATACTATTCTGATTCTGCCAAGGTTGTCTAATTTGTCAAAACATTTATCCAAATGAAAACTGGGTTTTCTATCTAAATAAAAGTAAAGAAATAAGTAATGAAGAAATTTAAAAATGAAAACCTGGTTTAAAATTAAGTTTTTCAATCTTGTAAATGTTTATCTAAATTTGTATGATATAATATTAATGATAATAATTGTTATTAAAATAAAATTTCTTGTTACTACTTTATATTAGCTTCAGATAAAATGAGTTTAGTAGAACAGCCTGATAAACTTCAGAGATCAGAATTATTTGCAGAAATTAAGGGAAAGATAGCTTTGAAACCTTAAAAAATAATATAAATTATGACTTTGGGAAGGAACACCCCCCCCCCTCCCCACCCCCCTCCCAGTCTCTGGACAAAAATCTTGATGACCCTAAATAACGTTACTAATTTTGAAGACAAATTGGGGACATTTCATATATCACATTAATACTGGCTGAAGTGCCCGGCGTTCCCCGTTGAATTGTTTTTAATCGAGTTTTGAATGGGTTCCTTAAAAACATTTCAGCCCATTTGGTCCAGCCGTTTGGCCGGGTATAACTGACATATATACAAACAAATATATTTGAGCGAAGAGCTTTATTATGTAGATATATTCTTTTATGTTACGAAAGTTTGCTAGCTGTGGCCGAATTTAAAGAATTTGAGCGGCGGTTTAAATTTAAGCCACTGCTTAAATATGTTTGGTTCCACTAAAAATTGTATCAAATGTTTCAAGATTTAAGCCGGCGCTTAATTTAAACCGGGTTTTGGCAAATTTAAACCGCGGCTCAAATTCTTTAAATTCCATCTCAGATCTCATATTAAAAAAAATCTATTCTGAAAATAGAGCATAGAAGCTGTGACTGATGATAAACGAATATTAAAGCATATAATGATTGATATTCTTAACCTGAGGAATGGAATGGAAGATAACCTACTCCTAATCCAACAAATCAACCTGATGATACAGAAGGAAGGAGAGGAGCAGAAGGGATTTGATGATGTGATCCATAACGCCAAGCAACATATTGACTCCATTAACACAGTGTATATACTGGGAGTATCTTGGCTTAAAGATGAAATAGCTTTTGCTTTGAGATTTGTCCAAGGTAAAATAAATAAATTTAATCACATTGAAGAATGTTGAATTATGATTGTTTGCTTGCTTGTTTGTTTGTTGGGAGTATCGCCCTTTTTACGACTGTAATGGTAAAATTAAACTTTAGTGCTTAAAAACATGTTATTTAAACATCCTTTTAATAGATTTTGTGTTATTTTTTAGAATCAATGATGGATAAAACAGATGAAGAAGACAACAAATATCAGCATAAAACTGAAGAACTGTTTGATGACAATAATGAAGAACTATTGGATGATAATGATGATATTAAGCTAGAGGTTGAAGATATTGACTTCAGTATGAACCAGGGGCAGGTCAATCACTGTTTTAAAGAAGAAACGGGAGAAATGGAAACATCAAGAGGTAACTCATTTTTTAAAGTAATTTTATTCTAGATAAGAAGTTGAGCTTATTGCTGCTAATGTTATTGTCCGTAGATTGAAACTTGTGTGAATATTGCTAATCGGGGACGCTTGACCTTGATATCCAATTTGAACACTACTAAATTTGAGAATGAATGCTTAATCCCTCAATTAAAGTTATCCCTACATAGTATGACCATCAAGGAATAAAATAAATCCATAAATCTGAATAAAATGGAGATAAATCCTTGATCCCGAGATTCGCTGCACAAAAATTCTGACTTCTGAGTCCGAATTAAATGAATTTGAGCTGTGTCTCAAATCCGCCAAAAACCGGTTTCTATTGAGCGCCGGCTTAAATCTTGAAACATTGAATATAATTTTTAGTGGAACCAACCATATTTTAGCCGCGTCTCAAGTTTAAGCCGCGGATCAAATTCTTTAAATTCAGCCTCTGATCTCATTTTGGACAGAAAAATAGACAAAAGACATTCGCGGCCGGTCAAGGAGTTATTCTTTGAAGCTAACGGCACAGCACGTCATGAATTGAATTCAATATTCATGCAGCCTTTTCTTTTCTGCTGTTTAGATAAAGATAGCAAGCACCATCAATCTAATCTTCACTGACATAAGCCCAGCTTCAATACATACTTTGTGGCGTATGATTCCTACATAGCACAAAATAGTACCATCGCAAAGCCATGCTAAACCTGGATATAGATTGATACTGCTTAGAGGGTTGTAGGAGTTGTAGGGAGAAGTGCTATCTTAAAACGTTCATCCCTAAAAATTGTGTAAAATTTAGCTTATATTTGGAAAAAGTCCAAGATGAACCAGCAAGATCTTTTAGAATTTTAAAGATTTGCAATATTTGTATTCTTAACTTGTTTCAGAGACTGTGATTCACAGGGTCTATTCCAGCACTAAAGAAGAAGAAAAAGAACAAGACAAAGAGCTATTTAGTCTGGCCTGTACTCATTGTAATTTTGTAACAACTTCAATGCATTTATTGAACAAACACAGAAACAGCTTGCACCCCACAGACCTTAATTCATGTGACCAATGTATCTATATTGGGGAATCATCACTTGAAGTTAAAATTCATAAATCGCGACAGCATGGGCTCAATTCATTTTCTTGTGATGATTGTGATTATGTTTCAGTTAAGCTTCAACTTTTAAAAGAGCATATAAATCGTAAGCACTCGGAAATCAAATCCCTTTGCGATCAGTGCGATTATTCTGGGACAAAAAGGGCTGTAAATCAGCATAGAAAAATATGGCATGAAGGGGTTAGATATCCATGTAATCAATGTGATTTTAAAGCAACTTTACCGTTTAATCTTGTTAAGCACATTAGAATAAAGCACAAGGGTATCAAATACTCTTGTGATCAATGCCCATCACTATTTACATCAGAATCAAACTTAAAAAGACACATAGCAAGTGTTCATGAAGGTCAGCGATTACTTTGCGATCAGTGTGATTACACTGCCAGTCAACAATCTGAACTCAAGAATCACATTGACGGAGTGCATAAAGGTTTAACATATCCTTGTAATCTATGTGATTATGTCGGAACGTTAGCCAGTAATCTAAGAGCCCATAAACGACTGAAACATAGTGATCTTAATGTTTCCGTGAACAAGCGTCAGAAAACAGATTTTCCTTCTGATGTTCATAAATGTGATCAATGCATGCATGTAGCTAAATCAAAAGGAAATTTAAAACTACACAAAAGAAGAGCTCATGGAATTAAAGATATCCCTACTGAAGAAGATTTAGATAATCTTTGTGATCAATGTGGACTCGTAGCAAGCAACAAGGGGAGCTTAAATACGCATAAAAAGAATGTTCATGAAAAATCAAAAATGTTCATGTGCGACCAATGTGAATTTACAACTTATAATACAACGTCCTTTAAATCCCACAAGGAGCTTCATGACGGTATAGAACACAAGTGTGATGAATGCTCTTATGTTTGTAAAAGAAAACAATTTTTAAAGAAACACAAACAAATAAAACATGAAGGTGTGAAGTTTCCGTGTGATTTATGTGAATATGCTGCACAAGATTTTGCGCATTTGAGAACACACAAAGAAGCAGTTCATCTTGGAGTTAAATACCAGTGTGATGAGTGTGAGTTCGCAGCAACAACCAACGGAACTTTGAAGCAGCACAAACTGAGCAAGCATGACGACACAAAACATCCTTGCAGCCAATGTGAATATGTCGGGTCAACTCTTGTCAATTTAAGAAAGCATTTTAAGAAAAGACATGAATAATATAAAAGCTAAATTGTTATAAAAAAAATTTAAACATGATGAAAATCCAAATTTAAAGTAATTGGATTTTCATTTAACACTTAAATGTTTTCAGATTTCAATGGATTTAATGTTAGAGAATAAAATGATTTTCATCAAAAGAATATACCTCTACAATGCCAATAAGGAAAGGAAATAAAAATAAATTTTTATTTTTTATTTTAACACCGCTTTTAACTTAACAGCCAGCTATGCGTAATTTGTGAAAAAAGATTTCGCGGTTTACTGTATTTTAATCACAATGTGATCAGTGTGAATATGTTGGGTCCAAGCATCAAGTAAACACACACAAGAGAATCAAGCATGAATTGGACTGTTTCCATGTGATCAGTGCGAGAATAAATCAACAAAAACGGGTCTTATTTAAAGCTACACAAAGAGAGTAAACGTTTCCAAGATTCCAAATTCATTTTGTGAATATGTTGCCACTTCACAATTTAAGGAAGCATATCAAAAGTAAAAATTATCAGAACTAAAGGATTCCTAAAGTATTTCCAACGATTTTTGATGTGTTTGTGAGTTTACATTTTGAAATACTTTCAGATTTAAATGGATTCAATGGACACCAGAAGATTGCATTTATACAACGATATTAAGGGAAAACGATAAAATAAATTATTCAAAACAGAAAAACATTTGCAAACATGAAGTTCTCAAATTCTTTCAATTTTATTTTTAAATAAAATACATTTTCCTCTCCATTTACAATACCCGAAAATGTAACCGCAAAACAACCACTCTCATAATTTACAGCTTTCTCATTTTAAACAGAGATCTTTACTTTGAATACAACTTTAAACTAAGAATTTAGCTGAAATTTTGATTTAATTGTATATTGATGTCGTCCTCTTATTCCTCCAATAATTAGAAAATAATATTCTTGTTTTCCCCTTGAATTGTTTGTCTACTTAACATCCAACTTTGCGTAAATTGTTGTAAAATATTTCGCAATTTCTTGTTAAATGAGAGAATAAAAATCAAACTAGCAAAACTTCCCTACATTTAGTTTTCATTGTTTATTTATTTTTTTTAGTCTCTACCGGCTGCAACCGATGATAAACGAGTACTGAAGCATATCATGATTGATATTCTCAACCTAAGGAATGGAATGGAAGATAACCTACTCCTAATCCAACAAATCAACCAGATGATACAGAAGGAAGGAGAGGAGCAGAAGAGGTTAGATGATGTGATCCATGCTGCCCAGCAACATATTGACTCCATTAACACAGTGTATACACTGGGAGTATCCTGGCTTAAAGATGATACTGATTTTGCTCTCAGTTTTATTCAAGGTTCTCGAGGCTTTTTTATCAAAACACTTAATTTTTACTCCCCTTAGATACTTACGATCTTTCCACCTTGCAATCTTTCCATCTTCCCAGATTAGAATTGTCGAATTTTTTCTCACTTAATCTTTTAAAGGGCATTATTTCACCGTTGAAGGTCCTCTTAAATTGATGTGTTATTTGGAAAAATGGTGGGCCTTTCTTTAATTTTGATTAATTATCTCAAAAATAGCAGCTACGTCTCAAAATTAAAGAGAACGCGTTAAAAAAAATACCTTTTGTTTTGTTCTATTAACATTAGCAGTTTAAACTAAATAAATATAATTATTTTTTTCCCCCCGTAGCCCCTATAGCCTGTCCTATTGCAGTGCTTGGCCCCTCGTGCAGCGGAGTCACGCTTTAGAAGGCCTAACCAATACTAGAATAAAAGAAAAATTTAAATTCTTTAGTTTAAAATTTTTCCTGAATTAAATCACCCAGGGTTTGTTCTGTCAGCAGTTTGTCTTTCCAGAGTTTGTAATTGCCGCAATTTGTATATTAGAAATTGCTTTTATGAGTTTGTACTACTGGTGTTGTCTTTTGCAAGTTTGTATTTCAGAAGTTTGTATTTCTAAAATTGTATTTTTAAAGTTTGTCTTTTGCAAGTTTGTATTTTAAAAGTTTGTATTTCAGAAGTTTGTCTTCAGAAGTTTGTAGTTCAAAAGTTTGTAGTTCAAAAGTTTGTAACACAAAAGTTTGTTTTCATAAGTTTTTAGTTCAAAAGTTTGTCTTTCAGAAGTTTGTAGTTCAAAAGTTTGTATTTCAGAAGTTTGTTTTCATAAGTTTGTAGTTCAAAAGTTTGTGTTACAGAAGTTTTTATTTCAAAAGTTTGTAGTTCTAAAGTTGTAATTCAAAATTTTGTATTTCAAAAATGTGTCTTTCTGAAGTTGTGTTTTAGAAGTTTGTTCTTCAGAAAAATTAGTCCTTCAGATTTGTGTCTTTCAGAAATTTGTATTTCATGAGTTTTTATTTCAAAAGTTTGTCTCTCAGTAGTTTGTATTTCAGAAGTTGTATTTCAAAATTTTGTATTTTAAAGGTGTGTCTTTCTGAAGTTGGGTTTTAGAAGTTTGTACTTCTGAAAAGTTAGTCTTTCAGAAGTGTGTCTTTCAGAAATTTTGTATTTCAAGAGTTTTTATGTCAGAATTTGTTATTTTAGGAGTTCTATTTCAGAAGTTTTTATTTCAGTAGTTTGTTTTTCAGTAGTTCGTACTTCAAAAGTTTGTTTTTCAGAAGATTGTATTTCAAAAGTGTGTATTTATGCAGTTTGCATTTCTGCAGTTTGTATTTCAGAAGTTATTCTTTGAGGAGTTAGTCATGGCACCGTTTTTCTTATTTTATGATAAAAAAGCAGCTGATCTGATTTTAATTAATGCATTTATAGATGATTCTGTGGAGAGAGAGGAGATACCGGTGGAGGGGAGTGAAGATATGGATATTGAACCTGATAAAGATGCAAATCTTGAGGTATTCGGAGAAATAAAAATCGAAACAGAGGATATTGATAATCTGAAATCAACTATTATAGAAGATATAAAACTAGAAGAAGAATGCCAAGGTAAGCTGTTTATGGCAGTATGTGTATATTTGTATAACATACCTAATCAGGGGTGTATATTGGTTCTAAGACTCGTATTTTTAGCCCAATAAAACTGATTTTTTTCTCACCCCTAAGTTTAGTTTTTTTTTGAAAATCATACAAATTTCAACTTTAAAAAACATTCTTGAAAATAAACGTAATTCAACTTTTTTTGTTTGTTTTAATCGAATCGGTTTTAGAAAATGTTAAAAGATATAATTTTCAAAACATGTTTTAGATGAGGTTTTACTCGTATAAAATAGCAAACATATTTTGAGGCACCTTTTTGTAATTCTGAGCTTTCTCGTAAACCTGGGGTCATTTGATGTCCCACAAAAAATTTGGGCACAATCGTTTCAGCCGTTTTGACGTTTATTGGACACAAACGGACAGACAAACAAACAAGCGAAGTATGTATAGTATATATAGAAGCTCAATATTAAATGTTTACAGAAGCTGAGATAGAGATAGAAGATGAAGAACCTGGTGGTGAAACTATTCTAGAATATTCTTGTGAATTATGTGAAAACAAATATTCTTCCTCAAAGGATATTTTCTTCCACAAACAAATAGCTCATTCGAAATCCACGTTTTCATGTACACAATGCAAATTTGTGACGGTTTTCAAGATAAACTTGAGAATGCACATGCAACAAAATCACAGGGAAAATATCTCTTATTGTGATTTATGCGACTATTTTGGAAACACCGAAGAGGAGCTAAAGAAACACTTGGCCGCGAACCATGTTGGAGAAAAGTTGAATTGTGATCAGTGTGAATATATTGGGTTTAGGCAGGAAATGAACTCGCACAAGAGAATAAGCCATGAAGGTGGACTGTATAAATGTGATCAATGTGAGTATAAATCAAGAACAACGAAATATTTAAAAATGCACAAAGAAAAAGAACATGAAGGGGTTCGTTATTACTGCGATCAGTGTGAAGGCGTGTTTGGTTTAGAGAATAATCTGAAGAGGCACATTAAAAATATTCACGAAGGATTTAAATATTCCTGTGACAAGTGTGATTATCAGGCAGCACACTTATTCATCATAAAAGAGCACATTCTTGAAGTTCATGAAGGAATACCTCAGGCAAAGTATCTTTGCGATGAATGCGATCATTTATCCAAGTCACTGCGAAGTTTAAACAAACACAAGGAGGCCATTCACGAGAATAAACGGCGCAGTACTCGATGTCTATCAAAATTTCTATGCGATCAATGTGATTTTGTAACACATCGGAAAATCTATTTCACACAACACATGTCAGCACACGATAGTCAGCCGAAAAGTTGTGACCAGTGCTCATTTTTAGGATTAACAATACATTGTTTGAAAAGACACGTTAAGGAGAAACATGGAGATGAAAAGAAGAAATATCCCTGTGATCAATGCAAATACTCAGCAAAATTTAAAGCAAGATTGAAAATTCACGTGGAAAGTGTTCATTTAGGCATTAAGCACCCATGTGATCAATGCGGTTTTGCCGCGTCAACAAAATATAATCTGATAAATCACAAAAAGAGCAAGCATGAAGATTCAAAATTTCCTTGTTCAATTTGTGAACATGTTGCTACGACACAATATGGTCTGAATAAACATGTAAAAAGTAAACATAAATGACATTCGCATTTTAAAATAGTTTGAGGGAGGTTGGTTAAACTGCAATGCTGAAATTAGTGTATTTACCGATTGCTACGGAAGTATTTTCATTGTAGTTGTCAGTTTTAACTTCCATAGTCAAGTTTTTTAGAGAGATTTATTAATCAATCAAAAGATTAAGCGTTAAAATTCTTGATCTTTATTTTACTTTCAGATTAACAATGAAAAGTAAAACCAAACCTGACTCTCTTAAAGATATACTAGCGGGGAATGTGGATATCGTTGGATTAGACTACATAACAGAATATCAGGTTATTTATTTATTCCGCCAGGGGGTATAGTTCCAATTTTGAACATTAGTTAAAATAGATATTTATTCCGACAGGGGGTATAGTTTCAATTTTGAACATTTGTTAAAATAGATATTTATTCCGACAGGGGGTATAGTTCCAATTTTGAACATTTGTTAAAATAGATATTTATTCCGCCAGGGGGTATAGTTCCAATTTTGAACATTTGTTAAAATAGATATTTATTCCGACAGGGGAAGATAGTTCCAGTCTGCAAAATTTGTCAAAGATGATATGCATTCCGCCAGGGGGAGATAGATACAATCTTAAACATTTTTAAAGTTGATATTCACTCCGCCAGGGGGAGATAGTTCCTATTTTCAATATTTGTCAATATTGTTATATATTCTTACAGGCAGGGGGAGATAGTTCCAATTTAGGGGCGTGTCATGAAAAATTCAGGGATAGGGGGTAAGTTAGCAGTTGCACCCAATGTAAAAAAAATATCCCCAAGCCCCCATCTAGTAGCTGCCACTCCTGAAATATACTAACACAGACTAAATTCTAGAAACTAACATAACTCATTTATGATAATTAATGGCATTCTTAAATTCTATAAATTACATGTTATATGAAGCCACAAAATATAAAGTATATTTTTTTTTATTCACTTAATACTTTATATTTAAATATATATTGTAAATTTATATATGTAATAAAGCAGGGGTATATATTTTCTTTAAAAAATCATTTATTCCCCCTCATCAGAACGAAAAGGTCTAGAAAATATTAGAAATTTTAGGAGCAGTAAAAACAGTTTTAGGGTTCTCATTCACTAATTTATATGTACAAATATTTTTAAAGGGTAATGGTTTTATTTAAACCCCTAAATGAAGTTTCTCATTTTAGAATACGGATGAAAATGTTGTTCATTACTATCACTGCTCCCTCCCTGGTTGCTTTAACGAGCAAGGAAATCCGCGACAAGTCTTGAAGCATCTGAAATCTTATTCACATAAACAGGTTAGAGTGACTATTGTTATAATTAAAACTAAACAAGGTTACCACAAAGGATGAGACTTAAGAGACAACTGTACTAAATTTACTTTTCTTTTATCTATGAATCTCTAAGCTTGTTTCTTTATTATCCACCTAATTTAATATAAAACTAAATATTAGTGAAAACCCCCTACTTCCACCATTTTAGAACTTTAAATTGTCATTAAAGTTTCATCCTTTTTGAGTACCCCTGTAATATATCAAAGAAAAAAGTTATGGAATAACTAAAATAAAGGAATGCAGTTCAATTATCTGTATTTTCTACATTTAAATGATCTCTTAACATCTATATAGGGGTTCCAACGCAAGTGGATTTCACTTGCACCCAATTGCGAGCCTTATAAAGTCCACGCAATTCCGCAAAATTGTGCACAATTTGCGTACAGTTGTGCGCAATTGCGCACAAATCGAGAACAGCGCAACATAATTCCGATTGGAAACCCTACATCTATCCTTTGTGACCACAATTTAATCCTGATTCATCATTCCTTATTTTTTGTAGCGGCTGGTCAACATTTTGTACAGGACTTGAGACTTTATGCAGCCTTGGTTACTTTATGTACTGCAATGCCACTTTGTGCTTGTATTATCTTCTATTATGCTTCTATAATCTTCTATTATTCTTCTATAATCTTCTAACACTCAAGATAATATTGAGTAAATATAAAGTATACACTCTTCAATACTTATGTGATATGAAATTGTTTTCAGGCATGGATTCAAACCAAGTTCCAAATTAAAGTAAAAACCAGGAATTTAAAGATTATTGTTGTTTTTATATCATTTAAATTTTCAACTTTGATAAGTCTTTGTTTATACAATTAATTAATTTTATTATTTCGTCTAAAAACAAATATCAAATTTTACTATTGAGAATAATTCTCTCTTTGTTATGAAAGAAACTTTTAGATATGATTTATTATTTTTCACAATCAACCTTCAGGCAAAGTGACATGACCTACAGGTTATAATATTAGAGCCATATAATAAGTGTCATACAATAATAATATAAAATACCAAGAAGTGGCATAGAAGAATTTTTAAAGAAACATGGTGAAGATGTTTCTAACTTTCAAACCCTTATCAGTGATAAGCTTTGGCTTGAATGCAAAAAAGCAAGGTAAAAAGACTTAAATTACCTCCAATACAAACTCCTGTTTACTTTACAAAGTTATAAGTTAAGTTATAAGTTATAAGTTATAAGACAACTATAAAATTCAAAATGTTGATTTGTATAATCATTGCCTTTTTCATTTTCTTCTACCCCCATCCCCGTTTTTTTCCAGAGTCTAACCTAAGACTTTACAGGTTGCGTGCTGATGTCAACTTGAAACCTGAGTTAGTTCCTAAAAATACATCTTCGCCTTCTAAGGCTTTAACAGAAAATACTACTGCGGAGTCTGTCAGGGAGCACTCGGAAGCCTCACCCTATTCAGCCGCTAATCTAGTAAATGCAGATGTAAGAACACCTGAGAAAAACAAGGATAAGCTGTCCAAGATGGTGGATGAGAATTCTGCTCAAAGAATTAATGATTCTCTTCCATTTAAACAATTAAGTATTCAACAATATCAAAGAAAAAATGCACAGAGCACCAGGTAAAATTAATCAAACTTATTTCGCAAAATCCATACTTTCTTTACCATTTAAATACATTAATTTATTGCAGTTCTGTGAAGAGCAATGATCATCAAGTTCAAGGAATTTGTCCACTGGAGACCACTTCTAGTTTAACAAAATCTTCATCTTCTACTACAACACCAATTCACACAACTACTCCAAGTAAAACTACAACCTCTGTTACAGCTGCTCCAGGTTATGCTACAACCTCTCCTAAAGCCACTCTGAGTGTACCTACATCGTCTATTATAATCCCTCCAAGTGAATCTTCATCCTATCCTGATCCAAACCAGAAGCCACCCTCTGCAATTTTATCAATTCCTGCAGATTCTACTTTACTTGAAGAGAATGCGGCTATAACAAGTCTATCAATTAGATTGTCTGATAAAGTCGCTTTGGATCTAACAGCAGTGAATAGTATGGAGCAGGGGCATGAAGTGCCTGAAGAAGAAGCTTTTAATGATCAAGTGCCTGAAAATCAAGCTGCTAAAGACCTAGTGACTGAAGAAGAAGCTTTTAATGATCAAGTGCCTGAAAATCAAGCTGCTAAAGACCTAGTGACTGAAGAAGAAGCTTTTAATGATCAAGTGCCTGAAAATCAAGCTGCTAAAGACCTAGTGACTGAAGAAGAAGCTTTTAATGATCAAGTGCCTGAAAATCAAGCTGCTAAAGACCTAGTGCCTGAAGAAGAACCTCAACAAGTAGTTTTAGAGCAAAGGTGTGTTGACAAATCTAACGAAGCTTTAGTTTTACAAGGCACGTTGGAGAAGAGAACATTTGTAGATGTTAAACCTGAAATAGATGCCATCATCAAACCTGAACCAGATTCAAGAATTAAAGAGGAGAATAAACCAAAAGATTTGTTGAGGTGAAAATACACTTTTTTGATTTCATACAATTTTTAACTGTTATTTCTAATTAACTAGGCTGCCCCATTTTCTATTTCAACCTTTAATTGTGGCTTTACCTTAGATTAAACACAGAGTGTGTTGAAGAAGTGGCACGAAAACCTGGAATACCTGAAGATCCAGAGATGAAATTCAAGGTTAGATGCAAAACAATCAGTAAAATTGCGAGAAACTGTTTAATTTTATTGCCAATACATTTTTCGAGATATATATTATAAACAATAGTTTAAGTTTTTCTCACGTGACGTTCCCACCCAGCTGAAATTTCAGACCCATAATATATAAGTCAATTTGTAAATCTAAATTTCGTCATGTATCATAAAAAATAAATCCATTTAAAATTTCAACTTTTAAATTTTCAAAATCTAGGGTGGGATCTAATGTTCTGCAGTTTGTTAAATGTATGGGTTGCATAATACAATTGAAAACACAATTATTTTGTTTTTCTTCTGCTTCAAGAGAGGAAAATAAGATCTGTATTGTGATTTAAATCCATGATTTATTATTGTGTCATCTTTGTAATATCACGATCTTTTTCATTGCATTTCATAACTTTTCCTTATATTTGAATTTAAAAATGAATCAATCAATCAATCGTGATTCATGAATATAATTAATTTTTAGAAACTAGTGACGTCGATTGTTAACGATATTCTCCTAAGGTAAGTTTATTTCTCTGCAGCTTTCAATGTTTGGTATAGGCAGAAATAAGGCATTTAGGCATTATGCCTGATAACTCAAGCAGTTAGTATCCCAACACCCGGTGCCCTTAGAGGTTTTTCAAACAGACGACCCCAGGCGTGATTGTACACGTATCTTGAGGGGAATTACTGACGGGTGTGGCTTCATACGGGGATTAAAAATCCCCAGAAGTTTTGTTTAATAATAATAGTATAAAGCCTACCTTTAAGTCTTAAGTGAGGGTCATGAAATAGTTAGAAAAGTAAAAGAAAATATAACACCCTCAGACAAACAAAAAACACGTTTAAGAAGGGAGGGACACCCCCTCCCCCCCCCCCCATGTCTGTTGAATTGGAATAAAATTTCAGAATTAATAATATAATTTTTAGGCATTATCGATATGCTCCAAAGGCAGATAAAGATAAAGACCCAGAAAGTTTCAAGGTAGCCAAATTTAAAACAAAATAAAATAATCTTAGCATTTTCTTGTGAAATGAATAATAAATATGGTGATTTTTTAAAAAAATCTTTAATTTTTGTTTATAAATGTTTTTAGATTCAATCAAAAGAAGAATTTGAACGTTTGAACCAGAAGTTTTCAAGAAAACTCAGAGAAGATATAAGAGGTAATTGATTTTTTTAAAATTTGATCAAACAATTAATTTGTTTAAATTTTTTATAATTTAGAATCCTACAGCAGTATGTATGGAGGAATTGATATGAATGATCCTAACAAACTTCAAACACCAATAATAAGGTCAATCAACCGTTTAAGATTGTTTTAAATTAAAAAATTTTAATTTTTAAATTTTAATTATTAGTCGAACTAAATGTATTTTAGTCTAGCAAGGTTCTAAAACTAAAAAATTAACTTTTTGTAATTTTTTACTGAAACCTAAATATGAGTTTATAATAAACTGTATTTCTGAAACCTGAATATGAGTTTATAATAAACTGTAATTCTGAAACCTGAATATGAGTTTATAATAAACTGTATTTCTGAAACCTGAATATGAGTTTATAATAAACTGTAATTCTGAAACCTGAATATGAGTTTATAATAAACTGTATTTNATATTCTAATTTTTTATTCTATAATAAACTGTAGTTTAGTAAAGTGAACTTTCATGCCAGATTCACAACCTTACCACTACCAGGCCTTTAACTCAGTTAAACAGTGAGAAAGTGCTCAAATTTAAAAAGTTTTTTCCTTGTCACTTCTGCAGAAATCCGCAAGTTCCTTATAAATACAACTGAAAATCATCAATTATCATTTAAAAAAGGGATATAATACCATCACCTACTGAACCATAATTAATCATTTCCAATTCACAACAGTACCCCTGACTAAGTAATGTATGAATTAGATATGATTTAATTAATGTTTTTGATTGTGATTTCTCTACGGAATAAACTTGCAGAAAAATATATTTAGAAATTATAAACACAATAAAAAACATGTTCAACAGTATTGATCATACAATGGTCTCAAGGGCACTGTTGTGAATAGGGCATTGCCATCTTTGCATTAAAGGTTGCTTGAAATTACGTTTACCTTTACTTTTATTACTTTTTGTAAAAGATTTTATACATTGACATCATTTTAAAGGGAGTGACCGAGTAGACATGGTAGTTGAGCTGAGAGAGTAGTATATAAAGAATTTTCGTTTTTGCTGAACAATTTTATTCCTTAAAAATGTCTTAGAGGTTTAATATCAATCTGAACCAAACAAAGTTTGCACTCTCAACTCAACTACCATCTCTACGCGGTCACTCCCTTTTAAAGCTCATGTTGTTCTAGTTACGAAGAACTGCTGGGGTATCCAATAGAAGTGGAAATTCAAAAATATTTTGAAGACTCTGCCAGCTCCAGGGAGCGGAAACTAAAGCGTGTCTAAAGACTTTTGTAATGTGACTTTGATGTTTATAAAACAAAAATCCTCTGGTTATCATGGCAGCTATAAAAGACAATTTTTTGGCATTTAATCTTTGTGCTTTACATATAGTATTTCAGAATTTATAAATGGACGTTTCTACATTTTATAAGAAACGGAAAAAAGAAAAGGAAGATATTGAAAGTAGTTCCTCCAAAGTTCAAAGGTAAGAATGCATTACAACGCTCAATTTAATTCTATTGTTTGTTAGTATTGCATTTATTGTCAAATAAATGTTGTCTACTTTCTCCATTTAAAAAAAAAATCTCAGCTTTTTAAGTTCTACCTTTTCCCACATCTGGAAATGTATTGTGCTCTAGGGCCAACTGGGAGCAGGATACGTACCCAGGAGGAGCTGGTAGGAGGCTTACAAAAATTATGGACGAGCATCCAATATACCCTGGCGCACCTCTTTAATGCACGGACAAGTTTATTCAAGCATGTATTTCAGGAACAGGAGTTTCGTACAGCTCTAGTCGTGAACTGAAAAACAATAATATTCAGTCCCGACTAGTATAATAGTTCATATAGTATAAAATAAGTATAATATTCGTGATAATAATAATAAAAGAATTTGTACAATTTAAGCCATTTGAGTTGCCCAGGAATTACGTTTATGAATGATAAATAAAATACACTTACAAAGTTGAACTGGCCAGGGGGTTCGTAGCCATAGATAGATCGCAGGATAGATTGCAGGATAGATCGCTGAACTTTCGAAGTAGATTTGAGGTTGGATCGCTAGCTCTGCAGTCAGTTAGACAAGTCCAGGACGAGACTAAATAGGTATGGTTAGATTCAACTCCTTTAGTGTTTCTTCGAATCCTTAGTTTAAGTAACAGTTTAATCACACTAAACACAGGGACGCATGTGAAGTAATATAGTACCTATCAATGATCCGTAGGTTGCGCCTAGGATCAGTCCGTCCAGTAGAGGCTTTGGGAGAGGAGGTACAGTTTATGGTCCGCTGCTAGGTGGAGGTCGTGAAGGAGTTCATCGACCACACAGACTTGGGCTAAATAGGTTAACGTTAGCACAAGTTTATCATACGACTCGAGAGTTTATCATGTTATTCACCTTTATAATAACAGATGGCTGCACCAGTGGGTGAGGTAAGAGGTGGGTGAGGAGAAGATGATCCAGTACAAGCCTTACAGGTCCGTCATGCTTGAGCTGGAGGAGGATATCACGACAGGGTTCCAAGTAGGATCCGTCGAGCACATCATCCAGAACACAGGTGCTCCGGAGTGCGAGAAGATTGCGAGGCTATTGAGTAGCAACGAGGTTCTGTTTAATCCTAACATAATTCTTTGTTAAGATAAATATATGACTGTTACGGTTTAAGGGTTAGGTTCAAAGGTTCAAAGGTTCATTTTCACTAAATGTTCACCTGGTATATATATCAGTAGGCTGAGCCTTACAAGAGGAACATAGAGGAGGCGTGTTCCCCGAGCATCGGCTTCATGATGAGTAGATTCAGGGTGGTGGAGTTGATCAGAAGGGGTTACTCAGAGATATCTAGGGTTCCATATATAAACCATCTGTGTAACGAAGATTTGGAGCAATCGATAAATCATGACAAGTAATATTTAAACTTTAGACAGATGTTTTATTGACCTTGATTAAACACAACCTGGGCAACTACACGAGGTTTTAGAATAGGAAAATCAACCCATTCTAATTCTGAAAGTAAAATATAAGGTTAAATCTTCTTTAAAAGGAATAAAGCTGGCTAGGCTTTAACTGCTTATTAGATATAAAACTTTGAGTTTAAGATATAAAACTTTTACATATATTCTATTAAATGAGAATAAATGAAGTTAAACATGAATAAATGAGGTTTAAATGAGAAATTGTATAAGCTCAAAAGATTTCAGTCACTTGTAAAGTCTAGAGTATCCAACTAATCACGGTTACATTGTTTATAAGTAGAGATGAGAGCTCCATGAATTCAGCTGACTGTCTTCTCTTCTGGGGAGTTTCTGTCTGCTCGTCATGCCGCGTTTGGTTTGGAGATACCCTGAACAAGACGACATTTAGATCATTAGAGATCTTACATGTATGCCTTTTAATTAGAAATATTATAAATGCTTTTTCTTTTTCAGGCAATTGGCAAGAATAGAATATTCAATTTTGGCTCCTTCATCGAAACTCAAGTTGTTTCATAAACAGGGAAAACCTACATAAATATTAAAGTTCTTGACCTTAAGTCAGAACTGTTGTGTTAATCTTGGGATCAAGTATTGATCTTCAATCTGAATCGTATTCAGACCATACAGATTAATTTAATTTCTCTTCGATATCCATTGGTGGTTATGCCTTGCAGGAATAACTTTTTTTAACCAATTTTTTTTTATAATTTTTATAAAATAAAATGGTACGAGGCACGTCCACAGGTCCTCTTGTTCTTGCTTCCCTTTGCCTGTCCATTTATGGCGCTGCTTTTTAAAGAATGTTCACGAGTCGCTGTCTGCGCCATTTTAAGACAGTGCACGATCACCCGTTCATTGGATAGATGTATTGACTGCAGGAATAACTTAAATTAAGTGATCAAGCATTGATCCTCAAGTTTAGAGTACCCACATCAAAATAAGATAAGCTTTTAAGATTTAAAATACTCCCTCAGAAGTTCTAACCTCTGATCAAATATATTATCTGCCGAAGAGTGAAATTATTTAGAATACAAGCACACCTAAAGGCATGCCCTTAGAAACTTAATATTTTTGCAAGAACTTTTAGCTAATAAATCGAAAACCTACAAATTTGAAAATTGTCAAATGTTTGCAGTCAACATCCTCGAATTCTCTTTGAATAAAGAAAAATTACAAAAAAATACGTCGCATAAATTGAATAAGTAAAATGCTTCTTTTTTGAGAAAAAATTCCATATCCATTTTTCAAGTATTTTTTGCTAAGTTAGATTTATTGACTTTCGTGTTAAAGGAAAAATAAATTGTTTATTACTCTTTCTTAAAAAATCAAGCAGTTTTAGAATGATTGTTAGGAGCAATAGGATGTTATGTGTATAAGAATAATGCTCTCAGTCTTTTTATTTAAGTTGTACAAATAGTCATTCTGGGACCAAATATTATGACAGCTAGTCAATACAAATATGTAGTTTTTCTGGTGTTAACAGGAGGATGCAATTAAATACAGAGGATCTGATAATTCACTCGGGGTATTTTCTTTCGAGCATTCTACAGGTATATAATGTTATTATTATTATTATTATTATTGTATATACGTAGGTTGATTGTTAATAATAATAATAACAATAACTAGCTTGGGAGCCAAGCGTTGTTCAGGAAGTCAAAGTTAGTCCCACTGTTTACCCGTCTTTTGTCGTAAATTACAAGTACGTATTTGTATAGATAAGTATACTATGCTTTTAGGGCGCTTTGTGTCTCTTTTCTAACGACAAGTTTTACAATTTTAATCGTAAAACTAATAATAACGCAGATTTTTCTGTTTGATTTGGTGCATTTTCATAAACAATAAATATCGAAATTTTTTTCCATGCTAAATGTTTTTATTTGACCATCTAAAAACTTTTCCCTGGGTCATGTGATTGTGAATTGCCACCCAAAAATTGGGCCCGTTTTGACATTTATTGGATATCAGACAAATAATTAATGTTTATACTCAGATAAAGATAGATACCTATACAATATTTTGTAATAACTTTTATGGCAAACATTAATATCTTTTAGAAATCTAAAAGAAAAGAATTTTGAAAAAAAATTAAATGTCATTTTTTCTTGTTAAAATATTCAAATCAATCCAATCAAATAAAATGTTCTCGATTATTTGAAACACATCTTTGTAGAAAAACAACCCTACTAAAATATTATATTTATTGTATGATTTAAATGTTTATTTCAGTGCGATATGTTTTAACAGACAAACATTATAAAATTTCGAAAATAAAATAAACATCGAAATATTTTTTCATCTATTAAGTGCAACTGTGTAACAGATTACTTTGTAGTTGAATAGATGTTTAAAACCTAATAATATTAATATAATATTAATAAAGGTGGTAAGCGAATGTTCCTTGTATCTGGCGAGCTTGTATTTTGGAATCATTACATAGATCTAACTAACCTTCAGAGGAGACACTACGAGGTATAACTTTTTGTCTTAAAGGGACTGTTCATGTAATTTCAGGTTTGCCCGATTCACAACGGTGAACCTTTTCAAAATTTTAAATCACCTTTTGTAAACAATATAACAAATTTTTCAAGATTGCCATTTTATTTTACGAAATAATTTTTTTTTGCACGTTTTCCACTTTTTTATTGTTTATTTGCAGAAACTTTGACTTTTATGCCATTTTAAATTTTGATTTTGAATTTAGAGGAATCTACTTTATTGGTATATTTTGGGTTACATTTTGGATCAGCATATTTTGGGTGATGCTGACCNCCCCTCCTTGTTATATACACCCCATGAGCTTAGCTCTTGTTGTAACTGTTCTTTCAAGGTTATTGCTGAGCAGAGACCCTGTAAACTGTACCTAGATCTAGAGTTTAAGGAACAACCAAATATGTTAAAATAATTTATCTTGTAGAAAAGAAAAGAAAGGTTCTTCTATGGTTTAGGACAACTCTTAACAGGTTCTTAATATAATCATTTTATCTTAAGCAAGGCTTGCTTTTTCACTCAAGGTATTAATAAATTAATTGGTATTTTTCTTAACAGAACAGAACTAAAGGCGGACGGTCATTTCTTAGATTTTTATTGCTATTAAGGAGTTAATCCCCATCACTGATGAAAAAAATAGTAATTTATTTGATTGTTGTTTAAAGAAACGTGATAATGAAAAATTGGATGGAAACACAATGGTGAATAATCTTATTCAGGCGTTAAATACATTTCTCCAGAAAACCCTCCAGGTTACAGGATACAAGGTAGGTAAACAGCATAGGTGTAACCAATTCATTGTCTTTCTAAATATGTAAAGTAGTAATTTTTTGTATGTCTAATCAAACCCCTTGAACGATTTGCCTCAAATTTTGGTTGGGTAACTTGGTGGAACCAAAGGATTATTCTCAGTTTAATTTAAACATTTCAAGTTGAGTGTGTTGGTTATTGTAGAGAAAAGTTAGCTTCCGGGGAAAGCTGGGTTTCCAAGCTAATGTTAGATTTTTTCTTGATATAAAAATGGGGTTCTAGATTTATTAAGTAGAAGAACGTGTTCTGACCAGAAGTTCAGTTTTCTGCGTTAAAGTTCAGTTTTCTTAACTAAAGTGTAGTTTTCTGTTCTCGAGTACTATTTTATTAACTTGCGCTTAGCTCTTGTATTAAGCTTTTCTTCTTATTAATTTTTAATTTGTTCTTATTTAATTATTTTGTTTACTAAGCAAGCTGTTTTGTTAAGGAGGATATATTGATCCTTGACTCAAGTTCCGAGAAAAAGTTTTCTAATCACCTGATCTACCCTGGGCTAGTGTTTAGGAACAACCAGGAGATGGGTCATCTTATCAGGTCAATTCAAAGGGCTCTAGGAGTAAACTCAAGGGATAAACTCTAGGAGTCCATACTGTGGGTCAATTCTAGGGGTCAAATTAAGGGGTCAATTCAAGGGTTCAATTCAAGGGGTAAACTTTAACAGTCCACTCAAGGGGTTTAAATATTTCCAGTGTCATTGAAATATGTTCTAGCTTGGCCAGTATCTTGATTTTATGTCTTTCTGGAGGAATTGCATTGTTCCTTATTTTTTTGGGAGGGGGGGGGGGAAAGGGGTGGCATACAATATCTAACGCTTGTCTCTGACAGATAACAGCATAACAGCAGATTTCCCCTTTTCAAAATAATGATAATAATAATATGTCCAATTATTAAAATAATAGCAAAGAAAATATCAAAGAAAAATATGAAAAAATATATGTTTACCCAGGAGAACGATTACGGAACAAAAATGGAAACTTAATCTTTAATTTGTGTTTTATCTTAAGGATAGTTTTACATTTCTGTTTTTAAATTTTTGTTTTTAGAAGTTTTGTGGATAGTTTGATACCAGTTGAAGCAAAGCAGTTTCAAGTGAAAAAGGGGGATGAGATACAATGGTTTATTGATCTAGGGGTTTACACAAAAAATAGAAATTTCCGTTTATATCTCTCTGCTAAATACGGAAAATCAGAAATTTTAACAGTGTCCGCTAATGATATTTACACAGTCAAACTTTTAGGTAAGACAAATTGAATAAAACTAAGAGATGTTTTTTATTCATCTAATTTTTTTCTTTTTCAGAAGAAAATCATCACCAACACAAATTTGATCTTGAAAAGGAAATCTTTTTTTCCTCTCTTGTCACATATACTCCGGGAATCACAGACTTTATTTCATTCAAAACTGAACTAACCCAAAGCTGCAGGAAGAAAAGTGAACAACCCGCGGCAAAACTGACAAATCTGCGCACTGGTGAAAAATCGCCTTTTCTTGAGATTGATGATTTTGTGATGAAAATAATTGCTCCTGGTTTTATCAGGAAATGGAACTATATTCAGGTAGAATTTGGAACTTTTAACAGTTTTACCCAAGAACTTATTGAAATTAAATCAAAATCAAAATACATTGCATTATTGAAATTAAATTTAAATTAGAGTACATTGCATTAATGAAATTAAATTTAAATTAGAGTACATTGCATTATTGAAATTAAATTTAAATTAGAGTACATTGCATTATTGAAATTAAATTTAAATTAAAGTATACATTGCATTATTGAAATTAAATAAAAATTTAATTACATTGCATTATTGAAATTTAATCAAAATCAAAATAAATTGCATGATTAAAATTAAATCAAAATCAAAATACGTAGCAATATTGAAATTAAATTAAATTTAAAATACATTGCATTGTTGAAATTAAATTAAATTTAAAATACATTGCATTGTTGAAATTAAATCAAAATTAGAATACATTGCATAATTTAAATTAAATCAAAGTTAGAATACATTGCAATAATTAAATCAAAATTAGAGTACATTGTTATAGACAAGATTTATCTATAACATCTAATCTAATGATTTAAAATTTAGCCACACCCTAAAAAATTACGCATTATTTGCTTATTAATTACTCAATTTTTTAAGTTTCTGTGAGGACATCGTGAGCCAAACAACTTGAAAGGTTTTGATTTTTTTCAGGAAGAATCAATAATTATTTATGACGTTGGGGGAACAAGATACTGTGGCAATGTGGGTAGAGAGCATAAATCCAATAATATCAGGTACTAGCTTGGGAACCCAGCTTTGCTTGAAAATTTAACTTTCGGTTTTAAACGTTAACCCACTCATTCTAAGATTTTAAACCAAGCTAAGGACTTCGCGATGCTTCTACCAAATTCTCCAATCAAAATTTGAGACAAATTGGTCAACGGGGGTTATGAGTTATGACTTATGATCGGACAGAGATTACTACCTTATAATATAGATAAGACCATATTTTTACACATTTCTCTTTTAAAGAAAGCTTATTTTTTAATTTCCGTAAGCACTTTAGGCCTAGGGGTTTTTAACTTTTGTCTTCACTAATCTTACTTAGGTTACTTTTCCCATACATACTTTTCTGAGTTTTCACATTATTGTGTTAAAAATGGAACATAACTGAGAAATATATCTCACAGGGGTGTACTGTATACTTTAAAATTTACCCCCTGGCTCAGCCCAGGGGGTGAATAATTTTTGAAGATCTGGGGGAAAAATGAAAAATTGGACATCAAACTTTTTTTTTATTTGTCACCCAAAAATTTATTTTCCCCGATTCAGTGAATAAATCCCTAAAAAAACCTTACTGAGGGGGGGGGGATGATTTTCAAAAGAGAGAGGGGTCAATGATTTTTAAAGAAAATATACACCCCTGATCTGTCAAGGACAATATATTTCAGGTTTGTTTGTAGTCTAAAACTGGGAATCCTAAACCAGAAATGTTATGACCCAGACTGTGCACATTATAGGTAAGTAAATAAAAGGTCCAAACACTTGATATTTGGATCAGAAATGAATATTTTTAAACTTGTTACAAAATATTTACTAATTTCTATAGCTTTTTACCAAATAAGGGTTTCATTTCTGATGGAAATGGCTGGATTTCATATTTAAGATAAACAAACAGCAACAGTTTTTAATTCTCATTTAACAGGACTTGGCTTTGTGATTTTGTGACCCTTCAATTAAAAAAGATGTGGATATCTGATTCACAATGATACCCATGACCCTCAATCTAATTAATGATGTAAAAGACAACGTGGTTTTTTCTAGCTTGTAAAGTGTTTTATTTTGTTATTTGAACCATTGTTTCTGAAGCAAGAGATGCCCATGTCACTTTTGTACAGAAACCACAAAGGAAAATTTTCAATTTTTAAAAATAAAAACATAAATATCTATTTCATACTATGCTTTTAAGCGTAACGTTGTAAATCGGTCATGCCAATCTAAAAATTAAAGTTCATTTGAAATTGTTTACTATCCCATTATTTTAGGGTTTTAATATAATAACCCTTATTCTATCTAGGGGACCTGATATCCCTATTGCCCCCGAGCTTCTGCCCTGGACCCAGTTTACAGATTGGGACCCTGAGAGTACTGGAGAGGGACCAGGAGACCCTGAAGGTACTAGAGAGAAGGAGGACCCTCAATGATGGCTGGTGGAGGGACCAGGGGACCCTGATGGTACTGGAGAAAAGGAGGACTCTCTTCGAGGGCTTGGGAAAGGACCGGGGACTCTGAGCTTACAGGAGGGGAGGACCCTCTTCGCGGGCTTGGGGAAGGACCAGGGGACCCTAATGGTACTGTAGAGGAAGACCCTCTACGAGGTCTTTGGGAGGGACACCGAACTAGGGGACCCTAAAGATACTGGAGAGGAGGGCCCTCTACTAAACAAGTCCTGAAAGATTGTGATAAAGACGAAGAAACTGTAATTTGTTAGTTGGTTGCAAATAATATTAAGTGTGGGTAAGATCAATTTTTTAAAATTTTCTAATCTGATTGATTTTATCTAGAAGGGAATTTTACTCTGACTTTTAATTATTTTAAGTTCTTTTTGAACAGAAGAAAACATTTGTTAGTGGAAGGACTGAATTCCCGCTAAGAGTTGTTAAATGGAAACACATCCTGATAAGGAATAATTTAACGTCATTATAAAAACACTTATTTTTGACTATTTAAAATAGTCCTCCTTTGTCTCTTTTTTAATTTTTTTTTATCCATTCCTTTTCTTAGACAAAAATTTAAGCAGAATCAGAAAATGTATCAATCATGTGTAGACATGATTGATAGAACGCAGCTACTAGCTAGAACTTAAAAGCAACGGAAGTGTTTTCTGTAAAAATTTTATTGGGGGGGGGGGGGGGGCGTGTCAAAAATATCACAGTGCAGAATGAGTTGATTATACATTAAGAAATATCTCTCTGCATTTTTTGTTTGCAAAGATCGTGAGTATTTCGACATGTGGTGCTACATTTTGATAAATTTTTGTAAAATTATGAACCAGTGATATTGATAATATGTGAGTGATTATAAAACGTAATTTATATATCTACAATAAATCAAATACTTGAAATATTCTAATTTTTTATACTGTTGAGAAGAAAAAAAATGTGAAGTTTTACCACTTAGCAACCACTGAATCTTTTAGTGCCAGCAATTTATTTTTATGAGTTTGATGTGCACCGGAACATAAATATATAAAATTGGCAAAATTATTATTTGAAAATTATTCATGATACTCATAAAAATTAATAAACTTGCTTGAACTGTAAGATTCAGTGGTTGCTAAGTGGTAGAACTTCACATTTTTTCTTCTAGAATAGGTTTGTTATCAGCGGACCTCTTGCTGAGTTCGTCTCCAGACAAGGGTAATATGCAGAGTATTGAGAGCCTTAAGCTCCATAAGACTTGACATCATCAGCGGACTTCTTGCTAAGTCCGTATCTGGACAATCCGTAATATGCAGAGTATAGGGAGAGCCATAAGCTCCATATCCTCCTAAGTGGGCAAAGGGGGCAACGCTATATCCATAACCTCCATAATAATCATATGCCAAACCAGGTCTGGAGTATCTAAGGCCATTTCTAAATGTGTTGGAGAAAACATGGAAAAAAATAGGTGTATATGGCATACTGAGTTTGAGATTTTTGGAATTACATGTTCAAGTTCTAAATTTACATTTACTGCATACAAACGTTCGCACAGGTTAAAATTATTATGCAATAAATTTAGACTATTTAAGTAGCACAGGCAACATTCTTCCTATTCAGTTTTATGGGTCCAAGGAGGGAAGGGTTGAAGTTCCTCCATGATCCCCGCAAAATGACCTCCAAACCTCTTGTTTTGCAGAATATACCTCCAAGTCCCCCGAAACCATCTCTAAGCCTCGCTAAACGTCACCGAGCCCCTGACATTCTGATCTACGTGGCTTTTGTGCTCTAGGGCCAACTGGGAGCAGGATACGTACCCAGGAGGAGCTGGTAGGAGGCTTACAAACATAATGGACGAGCATCCAATATACCCTGGCGCACCTCTTTAATGCACGGACAAGTTTATTCAAGCATGTATTTCAGGAACAGGAGTTTCATACAGCTCTAGTCGTGAACTGAAAAACAATAATATTCAGTCCCGACTAGTATAAATCTTTATATAGTATAAAATAGGTATAATATTCGTAATAATAATAAAAGAATTTGTACAATTTAAGCCATTTTAGTTGCCCAGGAATTACGTTTATGAATGATAAATAAAATACACTTACAAAGTTGAACTGGCCAGGGGGTTCGTAGCCATAGATAGATCGCAGGATAGATCGCTAAGAGTTTCCAAGTAGATTTGAGGTTGGATCGCTAGCTCTGCAGTCAGGTAGGTAAGTCCAGGACGAGACTAAAAAGGTATGGTTANCCTCAGCTCTTCATAGATAGTACCTATCAATGATCCGTAGGTTGCGCCTAGGATCAGTCCGTCCAGTAGAAGCTTTAGGAGAGGAGGCACAGTTTATGGTCCGCTGCTAGGTGGAGGTCGTGAAGGAGTTCATCGACCACGCAGACTTGGGCTAAATAGGTTAACGTTAGCACAAGTTTATCATACAACTCGAGAATTTATCATGTTATTCACCTTTATAATAACAGATGGCTGCACCAGTGGGTGAGGTAAGAGGTAGGTCTCGAGAAGATGATCCAGTACAAGCTTACAGGTCCGTTATGCTTGAGCTGGAGGAGGGTTTCACAACAGGGTTCCAAGTATGATCCGTCGAGCACATCATCCAGAACACAGGAGCTCCGGAGTGCGAGAAGATTACGAGGCTATTGAGTAGCAACGAGGTTCTGTTTAATCCTAACATAATTCTCTGTTAAGATAAATAATACGAGACTGTTACGTTTAAGGTTTAGGTTCAAAGGTTTAAAGGTTCATTTCACTAAATGTTCACCTGGTATATATATCATTAGGCTGAGCCTTACAAGAGGAACGAGGAGGAGGTGACATGTTCCCCAAGCATCGGCTTCATGAAGAGTAGATTCCGGGTGGTGGAGTTGATCAAAAGGGTTTACTCAGAGATATCTAGGGTTCCATATATAAACCATCTGTGTAATGAAGATTTGGAGCAATCGATAAATCATGACGAGTAATATTTACTTTAGACAGATGTTTTATTGACCTTGATTAAACACAACCTGGGCAACAGTACGAGGTTTTAGAATAGGAAAATCAACCCATTCTAATTCTGAAAGTAAAATATAAGTTTAAATCTTCTTTAAAAGGAAAAAAGCTGGCTAGGCTTTAACTGCTTCTTAGATATAAAACTTTGAGTTTAAGATATAAAACTTTTACATATATTCGATTAATGAGAATAAATGAAGTTAAATATGAATAAATAAGGTTTAAATGAGAAATTGTATAAGCTCAAAAGATTTCAGTCACTCGTAAAGTCTAGAGCATCAAACTAATCACGGTTACATTGTTTATAAGTAGAGATGAGAGCTCCATGAATTCAGCTGACTGTCTTCTCTTCTGGGGAGTTTCTGTCTGCTCGTCACGCCGCGTCTGGTTTGGAGATACCCTGAACAAGACGACATTTAGATCCTTAGAGATCTTACACCCCACCCCCCACCTTACTTTATTTCCCAAATCACAACCTTGATACACTAAAACAAAATAACATAAATGTTATTTTCAATTAAATTGTTTTCTTTCAACATAGGCTCCAAACTGGCTGCAGTTAGAGGCTCCAAATATGGAAACCAAGGACTTTTCTCAGAAGATGAACTAACCCATCTCAGTTTACCACATGGGATTAAATCAACCCTAGCCTCAATCCTCAACCATTCTATCTCTGCCGGTACACGGAGCACATACAAAACAGTGGGTAACATGCTCAAAACCTGTGAAGAAGATACAATGGAAAACATGAACTTCCCGATGTGCTCAAGACAAGTCATTATCTTCATCCACTGGCTCTTTGAAAAAAGGAAGGTGACTTCTAAGAGAGCCAACACCTATCTATCAGGTCTCCGATACCTCCATATAGTTAAAGGATCAGAGCTGCCAATCCTTCGACCCCCAACAGTAGAACAACTGCTCAAAGGGAAGCATAACTGGGATACAATCAAGCGTAGACAAACTGTCACCCAAAAAGAGCTCCCATAACCCTGAATGTTATGAAACTACTCAAGATACAAATCAAAGCATGGGAAGCTAACAACGAAGACAAAGCACTGGTCTGGTCAATATGCACAACCGCGTTCACTGGATGCCTCCGTATTCATGAAATCCTGGCAAAGAAACAAAGAGAATATGACCCTGACATAACACTCCTAGGTGAAGATGTAGTCCTCAAACACACCAGATACAAGAATGAACCTATACGGATTCTGCAAATCAAAATTAAATCACCGAAAGAAGACAGAATTGGAGTAGGAAAGATAATTGACATATATGAGAGCTCAGGACCCATCTGTCCAATCAAAGCTTTCCTGCGATGGGGAAAACTTCAAACAAACCATGAAAATAAATCTCCTATCTTCAAGCTGTCAGATGGAACCTGTCATTTAGGTCATTAGAGGTCATTAGAAGGTCAAACACTGAATTTGTTGCTGCTACTGGATTCCCTGGGTTCCCAGCTTTCGTTTGATATGCATTAAGCCATAGTTGAAATATTTTCTATTTGTGGAGGTCATTAGAGGTCATTAAAGTTCAATTTTATTATATTATAGGAATTTCGAACCCTAATTAGGCGTGCACCCAAAAAATTGGAAGATTTGAACCAAAAATGAAGGCAGGGCCCCCCCCCCCCTTCATCAAATGTGCCAACTCCACCATCCCCTATTTTAAAATCTTATTTGTCAAATCATGGACATCATATGACCGCAGGATCAAAAATGTTACGTTATGAAAAAGGAGTAATTGGCGAAAGATAACATTGTAAAATTAAATTTTCCTGAATTGATGAAATTTGATTTATATATTATTCAATTAACTGTTGTTGTGATTTCAAATGACCGTTTATTGACAAAGGGAAATTCCCGATTTACAAATGTACCCTTGAAGCTTTCGTCAGATCAATAATATTTTTCTTAGCATCAATTCTGATAATTTTTCCATTCTTTCACAAGCAAAACATGGGCTATTGTAGAAAAACCACAAAACGAAAACATGGATATCTACTATTTCATACATAACCAGACATCAAGACAAACATTTTGTGAGTAACGTTGTGAATCGATGATGCCACTATCAATGCTTTAAAATAAATGCTACCTGTTGCCCTTGTAAAGGTATGGAAGCTTTAGTACTAATTCCAGCAGATTTGGTGTACTTTAGGACCTCAGCTCTACATAATACACAATATATAAACATTTAATACTAATTCCAGCAGATTTAGTGAACTTTAGGACCTCAGCTCTTCATAGTACACAATATATAAACATTTAATACTAATTCCAGCAGATTTGGTTGTAATTTAGGAGCTCAGCTCTACATAGTACACCATATAAACATTTAGTACTAATTCCAGCAGATTTAGTGAACTTTAGGACCTCAGCTCTACATAATGCACAATATATAAACATTTAATACTAATTCCAGCAGATTTGGTGTACTTTAGGATCTCAGCTCTACATAATACACAATATATAAACATGTAATTCTAATTCCAGCAGCAGTGAACTTTATGACCTCGAAAGATTTCTTTTTGTTGATTCTAAACATAATTAATGTAATTTTTTTTTAAATTATCTTTTGAGTTTTTCATCAGTAATACATAGTTATAGTTTTCTAATTTATTACTAAAATTCACCTTGAAAATTTCAAATATGCTTGTAATTTAACATGTAAAATAAAGTGTCACGACTTTTAGAAGAAAAAAGTGGCAATCATTCTAAAGTTTTTATTGGTTCACACTTCCGTGCAAAAAAAAATTTGTAATCAAATGAGGAAAATAAATATTTGTGGGATAAAGAGTATCAAAAGCGATAAAGCTTGCCATGTTGATGACATTTTTCATTTCCCATCAGGGTGTGTATTTTTAATAATGAAGATTCTAGATGAACTTTGAAAAAATCAAATATCAAAAAATAATAAATATATACCGCCTGATTAGTCCTTATACCTTAAATTCTCTAGTTTAGTCAGTATTGCCTCCTGTCTCGCTGCTAGAGCCTGTAGCACCTGAGGAGGCACATCCCCACTTAAGCCATCAGCAGTGCTCTTACTAAAATTTGAACAAAATTTATTTAAAATTTGGTGATTTACATAAAAAATCATTTATACCCTATATGTGAAGTACAATTATTGAGAAAATTAATCATTGTTGGTAGAAAACTTTCAAATGAGCTTAATAATTACATCTTACACTCTTATAAATTTGTACAGTCCTCGCGAGTTTTAAAACGCCCGCTTTGACAATTAAGTCCTAGTTGCAGAACCTGGGGAATATGTTACCTGATTTGAATGACCGGCAGGCTATACATACAGGTTGGTAGGTCAATTCTTGAATCATTTATTGTAAATGAAATAGTTTTTATAATTTTAACTGGTATGAGTGTAGCAAATGCATTCCTCCAACAAGTTTTCTCAACATGTATCAAACATATACAACTCAGGCTGATCCTCGCAGCTATAATACTCAGTCTGTATCAATGACGTTCTTGTATCCCTCAATATGTATCGCACAGATACAATGAGGCAAAATGGTCCAGGGGTTACTGAGTAATTATGGGACAAACAAACAGACAGACATATTACAATTTTATATATATAAATGATACTGAAGGGGGGGGGGAAGGATATTTTAACAATAAATTCCTAGAGTCCAGATTAAACACAGGGTTTAATGCATACATTCCAACCGACATATTATATAATCTGTAAAACTTAACATATCACAATTGAATTGGTGGTTCACTATTTCATCATATTTATCAGAACTTTTCTATTAATATCAACACTTGCATATATAATTATTTCGCTTTTATTATTTCTTTATAACCGCCATATTACCATGCTTTTATCACTGCACTATTTTATTGTTACCACGCTATACTATTTGGCTTTGAGAGGACAATTCACGTGTGTTTATCTGTGTTCTTCGGAGTTTGTAAGAAAAATGATTGCAGACAGCTTTCTTATTACTACCAACCGTAATACGTAACTTTCTCAATTTTCTCCTCTTTCTTTTTAGAATTATTAAAGTTTGCGGTTGGCGGTATTTACGCATATTTCGGAGATGTTTCCCTCTAGCGGCGGGATTCGGAAACTAGTTTCATGAAACCTGGATTCTGATTGGTTGATTAACGTGCTTTCAGCTTGCTATTCTCCATATTGGATTTAATAGTTTCTCTTATAAAATCCTTTACGATATGTATTTGGACCATTATATCGTTGGAAATTGTCTAAAAATCGTTTCTAACTTCATATTCCATGATTTTAGGGCGAAAACGTTGTATTTATTGAATTTGAAACTTGTTTCCGTTCTTATAAATATTTGGCGCGCCACGGCGGAATAGACCAATGAGAAGGCTCCTTTCATTATCCATCAACGGAGGAATTATTCTATGGTTAGGCGTCCGTCTGAAAGGGGACATTTAGCGGATTTTTAAATTCGTTTTTGGTGGTTTTCGGCGAGTTTTTTCAGCGATTTATCGGTTTTAGACGTAAGATTGGAGTATGGTTTTGATTTTTTTACGAATAGTTTGGCAAGAAGTTTGCTTAAAAGTATGTGAAATAAGTGATTGAAAATTTCTGGTACATTTTGACGCTCGTTCCGCCATTATTATTTCAGGGATTCTGTTTCAAAACAAATTTTGCAGTAGTAAACCCTGTCCAATACAAAACCTTTGCGTCAAATTGCGTAAGCAAACATATGATTGTGTTTTGGGGGTTTTATTTTGTTTATTTATTGTTCTAAAAATAAACGAACAAAGTGGTGCTTAATAATAACTTTAATATTTTGTGTTTTTAACATTCGATACGTTCATTTAATCATTATATTTTAATGTCAGCTTAAATGATGTTTTTTCACATTTCAGAATACGAATTGTTAATGATTGGCACCTAGATGACTCGATCTTTATATCAGCGTTGAACCGAACCTTCTATCCGCCGGTACCATGTCTGGCCGAAGCACAAGAAAGAAAAAGGCTCCGCCTAAGCTAATCGAGGCGGAGGATGAAACCCCGAAAGCCTCACGTTCTCGAAAGTCCAATGTTAAATCCAGAGTGAGTTCGCCGGAATCTCGTCCGGCCACCCCGGCTCAGGCCTCCGGGAAACGGAAGCGTGGCCGGCAGCCTGGATCTACCTTCGTTTATAAGAAGAAGGAAGCAAGTGGATCGTCAACACCTCTTAATAGGTAGAGTAATCATTGTTTGAGAGGGGGGGGGGGAGTCTGATTTTTAGAGTGGAAAGTTTCCCCCATCTTCATACAAATTGAGTCTCAAACATAGTTGGGATAAACCAAAAAAGACTATGAAAAATGGGTTAATAATCTAATTGGCCGGTATATGTTATATGGATAGTTTTATAAAACTTTTCAAAATCCTGACACCTTTTAAATAACGGGTAATTTCCTTATATATGTTTTTTGGACCCCGCCCCCCCCCCCCCCCCTTACCGGTTCATGTTCAAAATTGATAGGGGGGGGGGGCGTCCAGAAATCGTCTACTGGGACTAACCCAAATAATTTATTTAAAGCAATTTAATTTTGGATTACTTTGCTTTGCTTTTTTTGAAAGAGATTTGGTCTTTATCGAGAAGATGCCATTTTAGATTTTTTGTCCCGAGCTAAATAATGTCCACAAACTTATAAAAACCTCTTCCTGTTAGCGTTATTGATATTTTATGAAATATAGTGTAATTGTCTTGATGCAATGGTCTGTTCTAGGTAGTAACAAGTTTTTAACAGAATATAAAATACTTCATCCCTGGATTCATAATATTTTGGCCTCCTGGATCCATAATATTTTGGCCTCCTGGATCCATATTATTTTGGCACTCTGGATCCATATTATTTTGGCACTCTGGATCCATATTATTTTGGCACTCTGGATCCATATTATTTTGGCATTATGACAAAGTTAATATTTTGACAATATGACTAAATGTGCACAAATAATGGCAAGGATAAAAGGGTTAGGCTCCCTTTTTCTCCTATTTCTCAGGTTTAAGAAACATGAAAAAACATATTGAAGAAATTCTATTTTAAAAAATGTTTCTAACAATTCGATAACATGGTTCTGAAAGCTTAAAACCCACAGGACTCTTAATACAAAGTTGCTCATGTATCAAGTCTTAGTTTAGCTTTAAACATCAAAAGATAAACATGCAATAATTTTCAAAACGATATTTCTCTAGGAATAGCCGGGCCTCTAGTGTATCCTCGACGGCAAAGAAGAAATCGCACAAGAAATTAAAACTTAAAACCAAACTTGGTCGCGGATATAATCCCAACCTAGTTAATTACAAGGATTCGGAATATCACTACGGCAGTGATTTTGAAGACCAGGGATACAACGAAGAAAATGAAAGTATAAAATCCAGTGACTCTGATGTAAGTGAAATCGAGTCGGTTTCGGACGATATGAAGCCAGAATCCGATGTTGAGCTTGAACCCAATCTGCTCGAAGAAGATATTTTTACCCCGGAACCTTTCTGGCTTCAAGACCCGGCTGATATACCTGAATTAAAGCTTCCAGATTCATCGGATGACCTTCCTGTGTCAAAAACCGAAGCGTTGGAGGCCATATCAATCTACGAAGTTTTACGACAATTCTACAAGATATTGCGGCTTTCCCCATTTAGATTCGAAGATTTCTGCACGGTTTTGAAGAACGAGGAACAGTCAAATCTACTCTCCGAGATACATATTTGCCTTCTGAAAGCTCTGCTACGTGAGGACGACAACCAACAAGTTCAATACGGACCTCTGGACCAAAAAGACTCCATGAACGTGTTCCTGTACATCATAGACTCGGTGACATGGCCGGAGAACTTGAAATTCTTCCTGAGCGTCGACCCTGAGAACAATCGGGAGGTCATCGATATATTAAATAGTTGTGAATATCCATTCACTTCGGTGGAAAACAAGCTGAAAGTATTAAAACAAATGACAGATCTTTTACTCAGTACGTCGGCCATTAGAGATGATTTGCTTAACGAAGGATCTATGCCTTTAGAAGACCATTGTCGGGTTTGCCATAGACTGGGCGACATGGTTGTATGTGAGCATTGTAATGGACCCTTTCACGGGACTTGTCTGGACCCTCCTCTGTATGAGTTCCCGGATGAGGACTGGGTGTGTCCAGTGTGTATCAACAACATGGTGGACGGAGTCTACGACAGCCTGAGCACCAGCGTGGGGTCTTGCAGGATTGAGTCCTTAGGGACGGATCGGCACGGGAACCAGTATTGGTTCTCTTGCAGGAGATTGTTCGTTCAGGGGAGAGAAGGAGATGCATGGTACTACTCAACTCGGGCTCAGCTGACAGAACTGCTGGAAGTACTGGACGGAGAACTCTATGAGAAACAGGTCTACGATGCTATTATCTCTCAGAGGGAGGATATGGAGGAGAAAATGGATATCACAGAGAAACTAACATCGGAGAAGAATGTTGGAAATAGAAGTTCCTATTTTGACATGGATAATAATATTCTTGACAAACTACAGAAGGAGAGGAATGACATAAAAGATCATCAAGAGATGGAAAGGAGAAAAATCCAGGAGGATATAGATCGTCAGATTAGAGAGGAGGACGAGGAAAGGAGTATTGCAGAAAAGGAAAAAATAAAAAAAGAAAAGCGGGAAAAACTTGAGAAAATCCGCAAACAGAGGGAGGAACGAATTTTGAAAAGGGCAGAAATGCGTGGGGACGGAAACCCCGAGGATGATATTCCAGATCAAGAACTTCTTGAAGAAGAAGATGATTTAGAACAATTAGAACAGGAAATAAAAGAAATGAATGATTCTACTCCTGCTTCGTTTGCTCAGGTGAATAATTTAATAGTATTTTTTAGTATTTTCGTATTTTAATCTTATTTTTAATTTCGAAATCCATTTTTGACAAATTTTATTTGCAGAAAACCGCTCCCGTGGTTTATACTGGTCCTAGGGAACTCAAGAAAGGAACTATGCCACCAGGTTTGAAATTATTTATGATCGACTTTCAATAATGCTTTAATCCACGCATATCTGTTCATTTTAATAATTTTATGTTTCATTTTCTTTGGAGTTTTATATGGGAGTCTGTTTAACAAAAATAGTTTTTCATTTTTCTTTCCTCCGAAATAGTCTTTTATAACTTTTAAAACAACATACTCTCCCGAACCATCTTATCCCATCCGGCCGTAACTGAGGTGATTTTAAGATGATTGATTGATTGATTATCCAGGAAACTATTTCCGGCTTGGTGAGGAGAACACGTACAAGAGCTATGTGAACCAGTTCTCTATCCACACCCATGCGCTGAGCAGGATCCAGGTTAAGGAGGAGATGGAGAAGAAGAGCAGACTCAGTCACAAGTTCAGTCTCACCGACGTAAGTAATTTTCTGGTTTAGTAGTTTCATATAGATGCAAATCCTGGATCCGACCTGTAAAAATAAATGCATCCGGATTAGAGTGGTCGTAAGAGGTCATTAGAAGGTCATTCACTGTATTTGTTGCTACCACTGTATTCTCTTGGTTCCTAGCTTTCGTTTGATATGAATAAAGCCAAAGTTTAAACATTTTCATTTTTGGAGGTCATTTAGGTCATTAGAGGTCATAAGAAGGTCAAACACTGGATTTGTTGCTGCTACTATATTCCTGGGGTTCCTAGCTTTCGTTTGATATGCATAAAGCCATAGTTACAACTTGTTGTCTAGGCCCCTGGAGACCTGTCTGCCGGGGGGTTATGACGAATTGTACGAAACCGGCCCGGGGCAGTGGAAGCAGGGGGTGTCAGCTGTTTACTGTCAGCTGCGCCAACCTAGTGGGGCGGGGCAGGTATTTTCCTCAGTCTTTGCTTTTCAGCGCTTGTGATAACACACATACTCTAATTCTTTTGTTTATCGTTTATTTCAAATTTTTTCCTTATAGAACCTTCAAACCTTTTACACGTCTTCACTTGCAATCTGTTAAACTCTTCTTCGCTTGAGTTAACTTTAATCTTATTCGTAATTTTCTTTTAAAAATATTCAGTCTTTCAATCCTCCCCATACATAACCATGTTTTATCTTTTGTAGAGTAAATACCGCTAATTTTGCCGTANTGTGAATATCCATTCAAGGGAATGACAGCCTGTCTACCCCCCTACTTATGGACTACGTCACCACAGGATACGGTCCAGCTTCAGTCACCACCCTGAATTCCCTAGGCTGGAAAGGGAAAGTTATAGGGGGAATAATTTTCTGGCTCTACCTTGATAACAACTCCCTCTCTAGAGGGAAATTCTTTATTACCGGGGAATTGCTATCTAACCCCTACGTGGTACCAGCCCAGAAAATGTGGCCCTCCGCCCCTGACAACATCTCCTTATCCATACCCCTCACATCAGCGGACATGTTCAATTTCCCTGAAACCTTAACCAGTGACTACATCGAAAATGTCGATTTCGATCACTCCTTTACCTACAATGATGCTAGGGCTGATACAGAGGTCTCTGACGAAACTCTAGACCAATTTAATATTGGTAATTTCTGTCTTAGAGCGTTTGCCTCTCCCGTAAGCAGTTTTTATGTCCACCTTCATATCTTACTTTTCCCCTGCTCTCTATCTGAACTCTCTACCCATGCTTTTCACTCTAATCCAAAATGGCCTGGCATCTCGATATTCAACGAACAATTTGCCTTCTTCCCAACCGCTGGAGCAAAGAAAATCAAGTACGGATGCCCTCTTCTTCCCCTTCTAATCCCAAGCCCCCCTGGTATCCTACCTGACGATGGCCTCTCCCCCCCTGAGTTCACCGCAAAGATAGCCTCTCTTCTAAGATCAGCAATTCTCCCCGACCCTATCTGCTCTGGAGCTGCCCTCGTACAGAAATGGAACAAAATTGACTTGGAAGGAATCCGAGCTCTAGATGACTCTCTCAACCCAGTTATCTGGCCTTCTCCTCCCACCCCAGCTTTCTCTCCTACTCCACCTTACTTAACCCCCCCCCCCTCCTCTCTTTTTTCATTAATTTAGACTTTTTTTTTAGTTTATATTAGAACCCTATCCCAGAGTTTATATCGAAACTCTACTACCTTATGAGTCTTATTAGAACCCCCCCCCCTTTTTTCTTACCGGGAGGCTATTTTGAATCCTACCTACATCTTCAAGAGTTATATTGGAACTCTACCCCTTCGAGAGTTATATTGGAACTCTACCTGTTCCAGAGTAATATTGGAACTCTACCTTTCCAAGAGTTATATTGAAACTCTACCTTTCCAAGAGTTATATTGGAACTCCACCTCTTCAAGAGTTATATTGGAACTCTACCTATTCAAGAGTTATATTGGAACTCTACCTCTTCAAGAGTTATATTGAAGCTCAACTTTCTCTACCCTCTTTCTGGGAAGTTATATTGAAACCTATCTACCTCTTTGTGAGTTATACTGGAACTTGAATTTTGGTTATATGAAACTCAACACACTCAGTACGGGAACCCAATCTCTCAGTAGATAAACTTGATATTTCTATGTTGTAAACCCTGGAGAATCAACTTTTAACTAAAGGGAAACCAGTCTGGCTCATGAACTTAAATATTTTTATAACCTATTCTTTTTTCCTTATTTCCTTTCTCCTGGATTCCTATCTTTCGTTTGATATGCATAAAGCCATAGTTAAAACATTTTCATTTTTGGAGGTCATTTAGGTCATTAGAGGTATGAGATGATACTGTCCAGATATATTATCTGAAATGGTCTAATTTGATCATACAAAAAAAATTAACATCCTACCTTGGTTAGAAGTACTTGCGCCAAAAATGTTGAAAATTATTGATTGATTGATTGATTTTGTTTTTGTTTTTGCGTAGTTCAAGAAACCATTTGGCGCACACCTTTCCAGTCAAGATAGGGTTTTAATATTTGTGTGTGTATTCTAGACATGTTTATCTCCATAATAACTGATATGCATGTTGATAACCAAATTAGGGATGGGCATATTACAATTTTTGTGGATAAAACGAAAAAAGGTGAAATTTTAATCAATTGGCGCACCCTAAAAAAAATTTTAAGAATTTTTTTAAGATTATTTTCGAAAATCTTGCAAAATTTTGCAACTTTCTGGCGACCTTGCATCTCTGTACCAAAAGTGACCCTAAAAATGAACACCCCTCCCTAATCCGGATCCTATTAACAAAATTTCATTAGTTTTGGAAAAAATCTTTACCAAAAACTAATTTCAGTTCATATTTTTATTGACACCACCATTCTTTAAAGACTGATGAGGGTATTAAGATCTATCGATAATAATTTCTTTGAGAGTAAAAATCATATGTTTCGCAAAAAGTTGCAAAAAAAATGATTTTTCCCAAAAATGGTTTTTGTTCCATGAAAACTTTCCTCGCAATTTGGGGGACAAAACAATTTTTTTACGAGAATGTTGTGACTGATTTAAAACTTTAAAATGCTAATAGTTCTCCACACATTTTGCTGACAATCATCAGTTTTCGCTTGATCCAATATAGTTAGAGGGGAAATAGTTGCAAATAAATTATTACGTGTTTGATCATTTGTCCGAGGATTGAAAAAGTTTAATTTATTTGATGAATGTCGGATCTATTTTCTTACAACTCGTGAACGAATATTTTATCCTAGGTTTCTACGTTTAAATGGGTCGGAAGTCAGTACGGTACGCGAACCCAGCTGGCCGGCACAGTACGACAAAGTATCCTACAGCTTGAGACAAATATTCCCATTGCTTTCATGCACACTAATTGGACTTTGCTAAGGTTAGTTATTGGATTTTGCATCCCCCCCCCTCATGAAAAATTTACATTTTCATAAATTTCCCTTTTTTGTGATAGCCGCGGTGCTCTGTCAACTTTCATGTCACAGCTGACGGGGGGGAGGTTGTCTCTTTTGTTTGTGTAACCTCTTCTACATATGGTGATATAAATCTATTCTTCTGTGGGAGGAATAAGCAGCCCCCTTTCCCTAGTATGTCGCCCCAAAGTTCCCAGAGCTCGAATATCATCTCCATTAAAACTATTAGTTTTTTTTTTGCAAGTTTTTCGTTGTTTGTTTGTTTGTTTGTTTGTTTTATCAAATTAATGAATAAATTTGTTTAGGAAGCCCTGGATCCAAGCAGTTACTAACTGCACCAGCCCTGGAAAGGTATATTCAAAGAGAATAATTTCTGATTTGGATTTTGTCATTCTCCGTTTGAAAGTTGTTAAAGAAAGCATTATTTTATTCACACTTAATAAGCAAAAGTTTTCTATTAAATTAGGTTTTTTTATTGTTTTGAATTACCAGTTTTAATATAAATATTTTAGGATTTTGCCCGCGCCTTGACCGTTTTGACATGCTGTATTAAGCCATGTATCCTCCTGCCCGTCTGGACCGATGTGCTTGGTCATACTGTCGTCAAAAAAATTGGATATCAAGTAAGATTTAAAATATTTGTCGATTTTTTAAACATACTTTTTAAAGAACCAATTGCTTTTAATTTAAAATTAATTTATGTAAATGTAAAAAGACTCATTTTAAGTGAACACAGTTTTTAGATTTTCTATATTCCCGGATGGATTGAAAAAAAACTAAATTTTCACTGACCATGAAGAATTACTCTTTCCTGGAGTCATTTCAGCTAGTCCCACAAAAAGTCGGGCTCGGTCGGTTCAGCCGTCCCATTATATGTAGATGGTAGATGTATTTTTTCTGTTTTAGGGTAAAGAGGAGAAGAAAAAGATGGAGAAGAGAGAGAAGAAGGAGAAGGAGGAGGAGGAAGAGAGATTGCGCCCTTACATGACATGGGTGAGTCAACCCTTTCTTTGTGGAAATAACAGTTTTACGTGTAGGGATCAAAATTTGGTTAAATCGTTGGAACGACGTGCAAATAAACTTATGTTTTTTTCTTTTTTTTGGGGGGGGTATCAGTTGGTTGGTTTAATACTTGATAAGTTAATTAGTAGATTGGTTTATCAGTTGGGTAGTTGTTCAGTTGGGTAATTTTGATCGGTAGGGTAGTTAGGTGATTGATTGAGATTTGTTCTTCAGGTTAAGTACACGCTCCCAGTAAGGTCCCTAAGCGTAGTTCGACAGAAGGGAGAGGAGTACAGAGCTCATGGAAGAAATGGATGGCTTTGGATTTCATCCACTAGAAATTTCAATCCGAAGGTAAACAATAACAAATCCCCAGGAATTCTCTTCAAATAATAAGCGACTGGAGGGGGGGGGGGGNTGGATTTGGATTTGGATTTGGATTTGGATTTGGATTTGGATTTGGATTTGGATTTGGATTTGGATTTGGATTTGGATTTGGATTTGGATTTGGATTTTGAGTGTATATATTTAGAGTGCTAGCACACTGGGTCACAACCTGGGCCCGCATCGCGTGGCTGTTAAGTATACAGAGCTGAAGACTAACACAAGCAAAGTTGTCCTCATGGAACCTAAAGCTTTCAAATTTCTAATGCAAGTACAGAAGGTGAGTAGTTTAATTGATACACAACAGTACCCTTAAACCTTTGACTGATCAACGTTGTTGGACTTTTCTTCTTTAATTTACAGAAACGCTGTTCTCTGAACACCTTGTTAGCAATTTTTTTATATATATTTAAACATATTTATATTCGCAATCTAGACGTGGCAGAAAATAGATAATTTTCTTCTGTATTTTTTAAACTGCTTTCTAACGTACCTAAAATATTGAGTAGTTTTATAGGATATAAGTAACGGGTTGGCTGTTAAGGGTGACTGATTGGTTATTTTTTTTTTAATCAGCTAACCGTCCACCAGCTGTTGCTGCGTTTTCACTTGATAAAAATATTGCAATACAAAATTTAAATCGTCCGCAGTATTGCGAATTGACGATTTAATATCGGAGAAATCACCATAAGTTCCCAAAAAAATATTTTGAAAAATTTCATGTTACACATAATTTTCTTGTAAATTTTATGCTGAATTCAAATATGAAAAGCATTAAAAAAAGAAAATTGCATGAGTTAAAGAAAGAAAACTCAACCAACAACTTTAAGGTAAAAAAAAAATTCTACCGTTATTCGTCTATATAACTTCTTTATTTTTTAATATTTTTAAAGGCTATTTTCAGATTTCAATTCAGCACAAAATTTCTAACAAAATGATATATAACATGACATTTTTAAAAATATTTTTGTGGGCCTTTCGGTGATTTCTCAGAAATTAAATCGTCCATTCGTAAACGTACGAACGATTTTGAAATTTTTTTTTAATTTCAATATTTTTATGAAGTGAAAACGCAGCAATCCCATTTGGGCTTGATTGGCTTAATTCCAACATTGTTCACCCTTATTGGCTGTATTGAGTTCCCATTGTACGCAGACTACGCTGGGTTTTACTTTAAATTACGCTTACAGTCCCTTTAATGGATTTAATCGTAAATCTGTGGATGTGGGAAAATACATTTAAATTGTTATTGCTATTTTGTACACCATTTTTATTTTGCCCTTTTTTGAAAATTCAATACCATTTAACACTTTCTGAATAATCATAAATATCGGTAAAGACCTAAAAACTTTAAACTTGAATTAAAACAAGATAAATTTAGTTATTATCCATTTTCTCTTTCTTTTCATGGTTATTTTTTTTTGGGGGGGGGCATTAATATATTTGGGTTTAAATGTATAAAACATGGGGGGAGGCGTGGTGAGGGACGTGCCAAAAAACGTCCAATTTTTATTTCCCCCTCCCCCCTCCGTGAAAATTCTTTTTATATAAAACCCCTTAAACGCAGATCTCGGGTAGCTAAGCTCTTATGATATTGTAATTATTTTATGAATCGAAATTGAGGAAAATGGTTGAATTTTATTTTATTTTTAAATTAAAAATTGCTTTCTAAAATTTTTATTATTTTTTTCATGTTACTTTTTGTTCTAGGAAAAGGATGATAAGGCTCTAGCTAGAGCCGTTGCAGGGGAGCCAGAGCCACCGAAACAGGTTCGAGAATTCAAAAATAAGATGGGGGGGGGAGGTAGGGGCTAAAAGTATCTGGTTTACTTGTTGCCACACAATGCTTCAAAAATCCCCCTCCCCCTTAAGAAAGGAGATCTTTATCGAGTCCTGGCGTCGAGGATTAGCGACATCTTATCCAAAAGTTTATTCCTAGCCTAGATCTAGGTATACTGAGATCTGTTAATAAAAACATGTTTTGTTTAGAATGGTCGTGAGGTGATAGATGTCGAGAAATCTGACGAAGATCGACGAAGAGAGAGTCTGACAAATATTCTTGAACAGTCAAGGCTGGATTTGCAGGTGAGTGCCATCCCACACTACAAATCCGGGACGCTTTACGCCGCTCTTTCTTGTAATAATTTTAATTTTACCTTCAGTTATTTTGTTTTTACATCATGTAACAAAACAAAAATTTAACATTTAAGATTTTGCTGATTTTTCTCTCTTCATTTGTGGATTTCTAATAAAAAACTAAATAAAAATTTTGGAGGCAAGATAAAATTTTCAATTCTAACATTCTTCAAACTTCCCTGACCGTTGAAAAAATGTTAATGATTTTATTTATAGGATTTTTTGTTTTAACATTATTTGTTGATAAACTCTTGATGTTTTTAATTATTTTGATTTCTTGAATGATAATCTTTATTAATTAATGATGACCTTGAAGAGCTTGATATTAATCATGATGATCTTAATAATGATTTTAATGATGATCTTAATGATCTTGATCATCTTGGTTATGATCTGATGAGGATCTTTATGATGAATGTGATGATGAACTTGATGTTGATCTTGATGATGAACTTGATGATATTGATGATGAAGATGATGAACGTGATGATGATCTTGATGATCTTGATGATGATCTTGATAATGATCTCGATGATCTTGATGATCTTGATGATGATCTTGATAATGATCTCGATGATCTTGAAGATGATCTTGATGATGAACTTGATAATGATCTTGTTGATGATCTTGATTATGTTGATCTTGAAGATGATCTTGATGATTATCTTTATGATACTTTCTGCTAGGAGGCTGGAGAAGATGATCTAGGCGGTGTTGATGGTGTTGTTGATGTATCAGCAGGGATTGTTAACCCTACAAGACTACTCTATCCCAAGTGAGTTAGGATTTTTTATCAACTTAATATATATATACAAAAAAAGTTGGTTTGTCTAATTAAGAATAAGAAAGGTATTGTCATATTTATTTCTATTAGTTTCCTCAATTGTTTCTGAATCTGTAGCAAGAAATCCACAGTAAACTTATTTACTATTTAGAACTGCGAAAAAGGGTAAACTTGATGATTTACTAGGAAGGAGAATACAGCTTAAAAATGTCGAAGAGAAAAGGTAAAAAAAATATGTTTGAAAATTCAATTTTTCCGCTGCAAAAACATTTTTTATGAAACTATGTGTACATTATAGTCTAAGTTATTACATACTTCATCGTGAATTTCATAATAAACGTGCTATAAAGTAATCATCGTGCTTTTAAGTAAAATTAGAGCTGTATACATTATAGCACGTGTGCTATGAAGTTTTGATTGGTTCCCGGATTGCCTCCAAAAAATTTAGGATATTTCCAAAATATTTTTTTTTTCAATTGAAATAAGATTATGATAAAATAAAATAAAATTGAAATCAACTTTATGTACACAAACGTTTCATAAAATTGCCTATAACACTATTATTTTGGCACGACGTGCTACAAAGTTTTTGGACTTAAATTAATATCTCGAAGGTTTTCGCTTGTTCAGATTATATTTTGTCCCTCGCTAAAGCTCGGGACAAAAATAAATCTAAAAAGGCCAGAACCTTCTCTATGAAGAGAAAACTGTCCAAAAACTTTATAACACTGCGAATCAAATTAACAGTGTTCTAAATAAATAAAAAAAAATTCAATCTTCAAAATTATAAATTCAGTGCTACTATTATAAAGCTTAGTTTCCAGTCAAAGCTGTGTTTCCAAGTTAGTATTAAATATAATAATGAACATAGGTTTGAGCTGGATGGTTCTAAAGTGGACACAGAGGCAGAGAAAGATACCAAGACAACGGTTACCAGTGATATTTTCACGGAAACTCAGACCCAGAGTTTGGAAGCTTGGATTAAGCAGTCAAAACATTCCTTAACTTCTGCAATATCCACTCTTCTCAATCTCAAGTCAAGGTAAGTTTTTACTTTGTCTCATAGAGATCAGGGTTGTTATGTTTAGATAACAGGGTTACCTACAATGGTCGAGACTTGTCAGAAATGAATATTGAATATAGAAATTTAAACGAGTGAGCGGAGAGAAGTCAACACTACAAAATTGTGTCAGCTTTCATCTTTTTATTTTATAAAATTGTTAAAATTAAGACTAAAAATATAGCTGTTAAAAAGAATATATATTCGTGGCTAAATCACTTTAAATTCTCATCTTCCCATCTCAACTTCCCATGGGTATTTTCCCAAGTAGCAACTTCCCAAATGTGCAATTTCCCAAGCGGCAACTTTCCAAGTCTCTCTCTAGTCGCAGCGCTCGACCCTCAGCCTGTTCTAGTCGCGGCGCTCGACTCCCTAGCCGCAGCGCTTGGTCCCCATTGCAGCCTGCGGCGCCTTAAAGAGGGCTTAACCAAACCTTTGGGAAGTTGCCACTTGGGAAATAGTCACTTAGGAAAATGCCTTTGGGAAAGTATCTAACACTGATATTTTGATATATTTTGACTGTAAACGTAGTTCCAAGTGACTCTTAATTTAGCTTTACATGTCAGATTCACAATGGTGACCATGAGACTGTTCTCTCTCTTTATTTCATTCCTTTTGGTCCACACATTCAGTAGTCACTTTTATAGAGAAGTGCATTTGAAAGTAAACAATTTTCTAGTGTACCGTTGTGAATCGACATGCACCTCTCTAATTGGCGGGTCACTTAAAATTGCATATACACTCCGGGTGCACGAACGATCTGAGCATTTATATCAAAAAGTGTAAATTAATTTAAAGTAAGCCTAAATGAATTATCATTCTTTTTAGGAGATGTTACTCTGCTCTGTGTAGACTAGAGAACCCCTCTACCTGCTATAGTACCGAGTGTAGAGCACGAGACTCTGTGGGCATCCTACTCCAGGCGTCTCAAACCTACACCAAGCTATTAGTTGAACTCAACCAGAAGGAGAACTCCGATCTCAAGATGGAAGAGGAGGAGGAGGATGAGGAGAAGAAATTCGAGAACGTTGACTTGGCTTTAACCAAACTTAACCAGGTTCTCGCAAGGTTAAAGAAGAAAGAAGATGAGGTGAATGATCCCAACTCTCTTCAAACCATCTCAACCTTATCGGATAAAAGTAAAACTGCTCCGGAATCCGTATTGAAGAGCGAACTGGAAGGAAACTCGCTTGAAATCAAACCCGAACTCCAATCCTTGAAGAAGGAGAAAGATGTGAGAAGAACATTTTCAAATCCTGACACGTCCCAGCCTCTCTATCTCAAGCGGATACAGACACTTGCAGATGCGAAGCGTCCGAGTAGGATTGTTAAATATCCTTTGGCTCCAACCTTCTGGTCAAAAGCTCATAACAAGCGGAATATTTTGATCCAGAGTAAACATGATCTCCGCAAGTTTGCTAGAACTGGAGGGTTATACACAGGAGACGGATACAATTACAATTCCAAAGCCAACCAAGCAGTTTGGCCGTATCCATGTCCCAGGCCGACCTTTAAGACTGCCTGGATGTTCCGTACCGCCGGTATGACATCACTACACAGTGTTGCAATGCAACTACGTATTCTTTGGATGTGCATAAGATGGGATGATATGAGTACCAAACCACCGAACCCAGACGCCAAAAACCAAATAACCACCGACAATGAGATAGTTACCACAGAGATTCTTAAACATAGAAACAAGGGACGGTTTCTAGAACAGACCCAATATTTCCAGCGTCGTGTCTCTATCCCTCTAGATCAACCCAGAAAGCAGGTTGACTATTCTCCGATCAGATCCGGACTCCGGAAACGGAAGAGGGTTGAAAGTCCGGTGCAAGCAGAACCTCAAGTTGATGAGAAGTGGATTGATGAGAATGAATTAGAACTCTGGGAGATTAAAGCCTACAAACAGAAGATAGAACGTGACCGCGACTCCGCTGTAACCCGGAGACAGGCCGGAACCAATATTAAAGCTCCGGAGAAGTATGATCCCAGTGAGGAGAAAAAGAAACCTAGCAGTGCTGATATGAAGGCTAAGATTGATGTTCATATTAAGGAGCAAAGAGAAGCTTACAAAGCCAGATCAACCACTCCTGATCTACCCAACAGTAAACCAAGCTTAGCTGGGGTAGGGGAGAGAAGAATAGGAGACAATATAATCAAGATCGTTGCAACCAACACGTCTAATCCCACCTATACCAACGTTATACCTGGAGCTAAGAAGATATTTATTTCTCGGGACGGAAAAATCATTGGTCATCAACTATCCACCACTTCTACTCCGCCAGGGAAAATCGCAATTGCCCCGGCCACCTCCAAACCTACCTTAGCGGCGGTGGCACCGATTCAAGCAACACCCCAGCAAAAAGTACAAATAGTTAAAACCGCTGACGGCAAAATTCAAGTTCGCGGATTACTTCCCGGTCAACAGCTAGTGCAGATGCCGGACGGAAAGTTGCAGATTTTTAGCAACCCCCCGGGTGGAGCCACGCCGGGTATCCGCCTCGCGAGCTCGCCGGTTAAAGTTTCCTCTCCTGCCCCGGTGACTAGCCAGTTCCAACTTCTACCAAAGCCGAGTACCTCTGTTATCCAGAACGCGAAAACTTTTACGATTCAGAAACCAAACACTGTTACCCCGATCCAGCCTAAACCCAGTATTACAGGCATTCAGCACAACCCCGGTATAACTATGCAAGCTAACTCTCCGAGACTGCAGCTTATCCAACCCAACACACCTGGAGTTATTCAACCCAACACACCTGGAGTTATCCAACCCAACACACCCGGAGTTAACCAGGTTCAGGCCGCAGGGCCGACTCCCTCTCCAGCCAAACAAAATACTCTTGTAGGCATTCAATCCCTCGGACAGAACACGGTTTCAATCAAGGTAGGATCCATTATTTTATCAAGTTTCTTTCTTAACCTTTTATTTTAGCGCAAAACAAGAAATTTCAACTGAAGATTTGGAAGAAAGATTTTAAGTCCCATATTTCATTATTAAATGATTAATGAAATATACCTTTGGGGTTATTATTACTCAGAAAAAAAAATTCACAATAAGAAATAAAGGGGGGAAATCGGGAAAAGATTTCAAAATAATAATGATTTTTTGGGGTTATTTGGCAGTGTGTCACCAATTGGTACATTAATAGCCATTGTGGCTATTTTTGATGAGGTCTCAGCCCTGACTTCCACGGAATGATGGTTGATTGTTTGTATGTTTTGTTTGGCGAAATTATTAAATTCTTAATTTCAATACTGCCATCTTTTTAAATTAATGTGCAAAAGTTATGTGGGAATTCGAATTTGAAACAAACCAAAAATATTTTGTGTTTACCTCAATGCATCATTAACAGATTAAATTTTTTCAGTATAGGCTATAAACTTAAAGGTATGAACAGAACTGTCTTGAAACCTTCATTTTAGAAATAAATAATTGTAAATTCATGTAACTGAACAGTTAAGTGAACATATTTTTTTCGTTTTCTATCAGAAGAATTTTTGCACATTTTAAACGTTGGCAGCAGTACTTAGATCCGGATCCGTTGAATCGGAAAGATTTGGGCTTTCTCGATCGGGATCCACAAAAATGTGCGAATCCACGGATCTGGATCCAAGAGACAAAATATTAATCAAAAACTGCCAGAAAAAAGTGTTTTACTTCTAGGGTCGACACTACGAAAGTAGAACAAAATTACCTCAAATTAAAAAAAAATATTTCTATTTCTTATCGTACAAATGTTTGTAGGATGGTCAGTTAATAGTTCAAGGTCCTGATCATGAAGCAGCTACAGCAATAGCTCGACAGCTAGCTAGCGGTCAAGCCAAGCTAGCTAACCTTGGCGGGAAACAGGTACAGTGTACACGCATCACGAGGGAGTGAAGACAATTCTGACGAGTTGAAAATAAAAATCCGCGGCCAAAATTTATCAATACTGACGATAAACTTCTAAATAGACTAAAACGCGAAGCCTGTCACATTTTAAATCTCAGCCACACTCTCTCATCTGAGCCACCTCAAAATGCACATCCTTGTAGGTTTAGTTTTCTTATCTGTCGAATTCTGAAGGGCTTGACTCGTGACACTTTTTTAAATTTTCATCCCGAGAGAGCTTAAATTATTTAGTGGGTTTTGAAGTTTTTAGTAAAGTTGATTGCTTTTTAAATGGTGTCCTTGCTGTTTATTTCATAGAGCAGAAGTTTCATTTATTTGACTTTGAAATATTTCTTAAAATATTTTCAGATTTTGAAGTTTTAATATTCCTAGGTCTTGTTGATAACCAATCCTAATCAAGTAAAAATTGAGACATCACAACCACAACAACCGCCTTCCACAGATGCACAACTGCTCAATCAACAACTAACTACCTCACAACAACCACCGCAACAGCAGTTTGTTTCACAACAACAGGTCATCACGTCACAACCACAGATATCAACACAACAGCAGTCCCCGCAGCAGTTGATGAGTCCACAACAGTTTGTTAATCCACAACAGGTTCACAACACTAGTCCACAACAGGTCCAACATCAGCAACAGCAGGGGCTGTTGTCCGTCACACAGCCCTGCACTCCATTGACTGTGACTGCACAGCTGGCGCAGACACCACAAGCCACCGACAATGAGATAGTTACCACAGAGAT